TGATGCAATCTGAAAGGCAGACTGTCAGCGCGGCGCTCCCACTCACTTTAGCCTCAGTGACTACAGCGAGTCCGAGGCAACCAGGAGCTCTCCGGGCGTCTGTGGCTCCAGAAGCAGAATATTGCATTTGGAATTGTGTCTGTTTTGTCGAAAGCATGGGTTAGTGTTGGTTTTACTCTGTCTAATGGAATGGGATAGAAACACAAACCGGTCATTAAGAAGCTCGTCAGCGTCGCTACTTTGTGCGGAAACTTTGAGAATTTACCACAAACTCTAAGATTCTGCTGAGACCAGAGAGAGACCAGAGAGATACCAGAGAGAGACCAGAGAGAGAGACTAGAGAGAGACCAGAGAGAGATCAGAGAGAGAGACCAGAGAGAGATCAGAGAGAGAGACCAGAGAGAGAGACCAGAGAGAGACCAGAGAGAGACCAGAGAGAGAGACTAGAGAGAGACCAGAGAGAGAGACCAGAGAGAGAGACCAGAGAGAGACCAGAGAGAGATCAGAGAGAGAGACCAGAGAGAGATCAGAGAGAGAGACCAGAGAGAGACCAGAGAGATACCAGAGAGAGACCAGAGAGAGAGACTAGAGAGAGACCAGAGAGAGATCAGAGAGAGAGACCAGAGAGAGATCAGAGAGAGAGACCAGAGAGAGAGACCAGAGAGAGACCAGAGAGAGGCCAGAGAGAGAGACTAGAGAGAGATACCAGAGAGAGATCAGAGAGAGAAACCAGAGAGAGAGATTAGAGAGAGATACCAGAGAGAGATCAGAGAGAGAGACCAGAGAGAGACCAGAGAGAGGCCAGAGAGAGAGACTAGAGAGAGACCAGAGAGAGATCAGAGAGAGAGACCAGAGAGAGGCCAGAGAGAGAGACCTGAGAGAGAGACCAGAGAGAGAGATCATAGAGAGACCTGAGAGAGAGATCCTGGATCTACAGCCTCAGTCCTGGATCTACAGCCTCAGTCCTGGGTCTACAGCCTCAGTCCTGGGTCTACAGCCTCAGTCCTGGGTCTACAGCGTCAGTCCTGGGTCTACAGCCTCAGTCCTGGGTCTACAGCCTCAGTCCTGGGTCTACAGCGTCAGTCCTGGGTCTACAGCGTCAGTCCTGGGTCTACAGCCTCAGTCCTGGGTCTACAGCCTCAGTCCTGGGTCTACAGCCTCAGTCCTGGGTCTACAGCCTCAGTCCTGGGTCTACAGCCTCAGTCCTGGGTCTACAGCGTCAGTCCTGGGTCTACAGCGTCAGTCCTGGGTCTACAGCCTCAGTCCTGGGTCTACAGCCTCAGTCCTGGGTCTACAGCCTCAGTCCTGGGTCTACAGCCTCAGTCCTGGGTCTACAGCCTCAGTCCTGGGTCTACAGCCTCAGTCCTGGGTCTACAGTGTGGTTCCTTGCTAATCCAGGACATTTATCAGCATTTCAGAATCATTTATTACTATTGTGAGTAACAAGAAGTCACAAACTCGGAATTTGCTTTGGTCTATGGTGCAACAAGAGTAAAAAGATACAAGGCAAGCATGAGCAATCTACACACAAATATTTCCTTAAAATAACTACTATAGTAAACCTTAAAGTGCGGTAAAGTAGATAGTAGTGGTGACAATGGAAAGGGGCAGGGGTCAGTGATGAGTCCGACTGCAGAGGGAAAGAAACTGTTTTTTTTTGTGGGAGGTTCTGGTCTCAAAAAGCTTGTATATGACTCATTGCTGGTGGGGGTGTACCCGGAAACAGAATTACCCAATGCATTCTTATGGCGCCTTTTTTCTCTCAAAAACGGCTTTAGAGGATGGTTCAAAAGTGGTTATTGGTCCACAGCTTTGTTCCCGATGCTGTCAATGCTGAGGGGAGTATTTTGTTTTTGGACCAGTCTAGTTTAGCCGCTGTGGACTTTTTAAATGAACGGGTTTTCAGGCTCACGCAGCTAACGCATGCGTAAAATAATTTTTTCACATTTTTCTTGAGGGAGGAGCTACTCGCGGCCATTTAGTCACTACTTCCATATTATTTACAGTCTCTGGTCTGGACTGTGGCCTTCTGCCTGAGGGGAGTGGTCATCCCATCTCTTATGTGTTATTGTTATTATTGTATTTCCAATGTCGAACTGTTTGACTCTCTGACCTGTTGACGGCGAATCCACAACTTTATAAACTCCTCCGAGACGACTGTTGTTGCGATTTACACTCATACCAATATGAATTGATCATAATATAGATCAGGTCTATAGGTGATCATACGGCATGTTTATTTGGCTTAAAGACCTTATGACGGGTTTTTTTTTTTTAAATAGTGGATATCAAAATTGCATGACAATGTCAATCTGAAAGAGATTCCGGCAAAAAAAATCCTATATTTTATAAAAAGAACGTGTTTTTCATGAATTTAAGCTGTCTATGCTCTAACCTGTGTGTGACGTCATAGCGGGTTACGCCCATGCATTGAAAACCATGGATCTATGCCACAGGACTGCCTTTTCTCTCTTCTCTCCACTGATGCCCAACACAATACTGCCCTCTACAGGTGACAATTGCTCACTACACATAAATTGCCGTTTTGAGTGTGAAAAAGTGTCCAAGGTGGGATTTGAACCCAAGAATCTGGATTGGCAGTTCATTAACACAACCACTGGACTATCTCAGTTACAACGAAATGTTACAATCTAGTATTTATCTCACACTCGCTGTACACGGCCTTGTCATCTTGAATATCCGCGAAAAAATAACGAATACCAAATTGTAAACAACTTACAGCGTTGAAACGTACCCGTTCTGGCGTCACCAAGGGCTGTGAAGTTTTTTCGTTTCTAAGGGCGTTGCTATGGGGTTATTTCAATTTGGGGGGATCAGACAAAAAAAACAACAACTGATTTTGAAACCTTTAGTAGTTCTCTTCTAATATAAAATGGTATTAAAACTGTATTTCTAAATAAATCAAACCCGTCATAAGGTCTTTAAATAAACATGCCGTGTGTGGATCTCACTCTGGTCCTGCCGGAGTGCGGTCCTCCCACTCGCTCGCCGCCCACTCACACCTGAAGCGTCCTCTCGGAGCCGCAGAGTCTGACTGTCAGTGAACGCCTCGCCTGTATTTTAACCTGCAGGGCCCCGGCGCCACGCGGAGAGCTGCGGGGTACAGCTGCTGACTCCCCGGGGGGGTCTTTAGGGCTGGCAAACATTAGCATACGCTCAGCAAGTATCACAACGGCGCCGAGAGCGAGGAGCAAAACACTACAGATGTGTTTCAAGGTCTGTCAGTCAGGTTTAGAGGTGACAGCGCTTCTAGGGACGTTGAGATTATACAAATATGGAAAAATTAGGTTTTCTTGTTTTCTCTTTTAATGATATTTTCCTGTGAATAATTGTTTTTATCTCGTGCATGTTTGAAATAAATTAACAAATGAAAAAAATGAGTGTGACAATAATTGAGAAATAAAGCTCAAATATTACAATTCTTTATTCAATTTAACGTATGTGTGTATGCTTGTAATCTGACTACTTGCTTGTGGGGGTGTACCCGGAAACAGAATTATCCAATGTATTCTTATGCCGCCTTTTTTCCTCTCTAAAACGTCTTTACAGGATGGTCCAAAAGTCGCTATTGGCCTTAGATGCTGTCGATGCTGAGGGGAGTATATATCTTTTGGACCAGTCTAGTTTAGCCGCTGTGGACTTCAGTATGCACTCGTTAAATGAATAGGGCTGGTGCGTTTCTTCACATTTTCCTGTGGGAGGGGCTTCCCGCGGCCATTTTGAAGAAGCCCCATAGAAGCCAAAAGTGGTGGCACATTGGTTTCAACGGCGGAGATAGGTGTCACTACGTCTGTTAATTTTTACAATGTATGGTGCAAACAAGTCAGAAGTAGAGAATAGAATAAGGCAAAATTTAAAAAAATCATACTGTACATTTCTAAAAAGACGGGAAATGTGCATGTTGAAAAAGTGAAAAGATATAGAGTCACTTTTGTGCAGTACAGGTATTTTATCTACAATTTAAGTTGAAAAAAGTGACTGTATTTTTAGATCTGCTGATGGCATCTCAACACATTTGTAAATACCTCCGAGACGACTGCTGATTTGATTTACGGCTTTACAAATATACATTGAATTTAAATTGAATTAAAGTACATTTTACACCTGCTTTACACAGACACCAAAGCCAAATTTCCTAAGCAGACCAAATGGTGCATGTGTTTTAAAAAATATATGCCAGCAGCCTGGTATTAGCCGATCAGGAAGGACAGAAGTGTTCTCCATTAGGACCATTACACTATTATATCTCCCACTCACGTAGCCTCCATACATTTTCTAATCTCATGATTTTGCATTATATCCCTTTACCTTGAGTGGTCACTTTAATCTCAGCTGGAGGCAAAAAATTTAAACGCACAAAAGCATATAATATATCCTAAAGTTTGAGAAAATCTACTTACAACTTTCAGACTGGCTGCAGGCCCTGATTAGTGTCTTACTGCACCAAAGACTTTACTTTATTAAAAAGGCACGAGGCTACCGCTTAACGAGTCAGTGGCAAATGATGAAGTTAGGCTGGAATTATAAACAGGCAAAAACAGTGAATATGTTCACATGTCGTTCTTGTGTTTATTTGTTTATTATTTGTTGTCTTTGCGTGATGCGCAGCTAAGCCAGGTCCACACAGACAGTGGCACACACGCACCATGGAATATCTCCTGTAGTTGGGTGACATCTAGCGGCTAAACTCGGTCATTACAGCAAATGAACACAAATGCAAAAGTCACGAGTATTTAAAGGTTATTTAGTTATTTTACCTATTATTGACGCTGTTAACACACACAAACGAATAATTTCAGCAACATCATAAAGTATAATGAACCGCTGTCATGACTTTTGTCCCTCCCGGGTGTCCGTTGTACGTCACTTTGTGTTGACGTGTGGCTAGCATCTGACCGTGTTAGCTTCGCTCTCACGTTGTTCTGACCGTTTCTGTTTGATTAAGGCCCAGTCGTTTCTTGGGGATATAACGGTGTAAAATGGCGGCGGACTGGGAGGAAATCCGACGTCTGGCCGCGGACTTTCAGAGAGCTCAGTTTGCGGAAACAGTGCAAAGGTAAGAACAGCTGTTAGCATCGAAGCTAGGTCTGTTTGCTAAGCTAAGTGATTTTGTGTTGATGGGGCAGATATTATAAGTTTTTATTTCGTTCTGCTCCTTTTCATTCATAGTGAATGTTGCTGTTGTTTAAATGAATGAAGTTATTTTTAATTTTTAAATGAAAAAGGAAAAATGAATGAAGTCTCATCCATAGACTGACACACCATGTGTCACACCATAGACTGACACACCATGTGTCACACCATAGACTGACACACCATGTGTCACACCATAGACTGACACACCATGTGTCACACCATAGACTGTCATAACCATGTGTCACACCATAGACTGTCATAACCATGTGTCACACCATAGACTGACACACCATGTGTCACACCATAGACTGTCATAACCATGTGTCACACCATAGACTGTCACACCATGTGTCACACCATAGACTGTCATAACCATGTGTCACACCATAGACTGTCATAACCATGTGTCACACCATAGACTGTCATAACCATGTGTCACACCATAGACTGTCATAACCATGTGTCACACCATAGACTGTCATAACCATGTGTCACACCATAGACTGTCATAACCATGTGTCACACCATAGACTGACACACCATGTGTCACACCATAGACTGTCATAACCATGTGTCACACCATAGACTGTCATAACCATGTGTCACACCATAGACTGTCATAACCATGTGTCACACCATAGACTGTCACACCATAGACTGTCACAACCATAGACTGTCACAACCATGTGTCACACCATAGACTGTCACAACCATGTGTCACACCATAGACTGTCATAACCATGTGTCACACCATAGACTGTCATAACCATGTGTCACACCATAGACTGTCACACCATAGACTGTCACAACCATAGACTGTCATAACCATGTGTCACACCATAGACTGTCATAACCATGTGTCACACCATAGACTGACACACCATGTGTCACACCATAGACTGTCATAACCATGTGTCACACCATAGACTGTCATAACCATGTGTCACACCATAGACTGTCATAACCATGTGTCACACCATAGACTGTCATAACCATGTGTCACACCATAGACTGTCATAACCATGTGTCACACCATAGACTGTCATAACCATGTGTCACACCATAGACTGTCATAACCATGTGTCACACCATAGACTGTCATAACCATGTGTCACACCATAGACTGTCATAACCATGTGTCACACCATAGACTGTCATAACCATGTGTCACACCATAGACTGTCATAACCATGTGTCACACCATAGACTGTCATAACCATGTGTCACACCATAGACTGTCATAACCATGTGTCACACCATAGACTGTCATAACCATGTGTCACACCATAGACTGTCATAACCATGTGTCACACCATAGACTGACACACCATGTGTCACACCATAGACTGTCATAACCATGTGTCACACCATAGACTGTCATAACCATGTGTCACACCATAGACTGTCATAACCATGTGTCACACCATAGACTGTCATAACCATGTGTCACACCATAGACTGTCATAACCATGTGTCACACCATAGACTGTCATAACCATGTGTCACACCATAGACTGTCATAACCATGTGTCACACCATAGACTGTCACACCATAGACTGTCACAACCATAGACTGTCACAACCATGTGTCACACCATAGACTGTCACAACCATGTGTCACACCATAGACTGTCATAACCATGTGTCACACCATAGACTGTCATAACCATGTGTCACACCATAGACTGTCACACCATAGACTGTCACAACCATAGACTGTCATAACCATGTGTCACACCATAGACTGTCATAACCATGTGTCACACCATAGACTGACACACCATGTGTCACACCATAGACTGTCATAACCATGTGTCACACCATAGACTGTCATAACCATGTGTCACACCATAGACTGTCATAACCATGTGTCACACCATAGACTGTCATAACCATGTGTCACACCATAGACAGTCATAACCATGTGTCACACCATAGACTGACACACCATGTGTCACACCATAGACTGTCATAACCATGTGTCACACCATAGACTGTCATAACCATGTGTCACACCATAGACTGTCATAACCATGTGTCACACCATAGACTGTCATAACCATGTGTCACACCATAGACTGTCATAACCATGTGTCACACCATAGACTGTCATAACCATGTGTCACACCATAGACTGTCATAACCATGTGTCACACCATAGACTGTCATAACCATGTGTCACACCATAGACTGTCATAAACCATGTGTCACACCATAGACTGACACACCATGTGTCACACCATAGACTGTCATAACCATGTGTCACACCATAGACTGTCATAACCATGTGTCACACCATAGACTGTCATAACCATGTGTCACACCATAGACTGTCATAACCATGTGTCACACCATAGACTGTCATAACCATGTGTCACACCATAGACTGTCATAACCATGTGTCACACCATAGACTGTCATAACCATGTGTCACACCATAGACTGTCACACCATAGACTGTCACAACCATAGACTGTCACAACCATGTGTCACACCATAGACTGTCACAACCATGTGTCACACCATAGACTGTCATAACCATGTGTCACACCATAGACTGTCATAACCATGTGTCACACCATAGACTGTCACACCATGCTGTCACACCATAGACTGTCATAACATGTGTCACACCATAGACTGTCATAACCATGTGTCACACCATAGACTGTCATAACCATGTGTCACACCATAGACTGACACACCATGTGTCACACCATAGACTGTCATAACCATGTGTCACACCATAGACTGTCATAACCATGTGTCACACCATAGACTGTCATAACCATGTGTCACACCATAGACTGTCATAACCATGTGTCACACCATAGACAGTCATAACCATGTGTCACACCATAGACTGACACACCATGTGTCACACCATAGACTGTCATAACCATGTGTCACACCATAGACTGTCATAACCATGTGTCACACCATAGACTGTCATAACCATGTGTCACACCATAGACTGTCATAACCATGTGTCACACCATAGACTGTCATAACCATGTGTCACACCATAGACTGTCATAACCATGTGTCACACCATAGACTGTCATAACCATGTGTCACACCATAGACTGTCACACCATAGACTGTCACACCATAGACTGTCACAACCATAGACTGTCACACCATGGACTGTCATAACCACAGACTGTCACAACCATGTGTCACACCATAGACTGTCACAACCATGTGTCACACCATAGACTGTCACAACCATGTGTCACACCATAGACTGTCACACCATGTGTCACACCATAGACTGTCACACCATAGACTGTCACACCATGTGTCACACCATAGACTGTCACACCATAGACTGTCACACCATGGACTGTCATAACCACAGACTGTCACAACCATGTGTCACACCATAGACTGTCACACCATAGACTGTCACAACCATAGACTGTCACACCATGGACTGTCATAACCTCAGACTGTCACAACCATGTGTCACACCATGGACTGTCATAACCACAGACTGTCACAACCATGTGTCACACCATAGACTGTCACACCATGGACTGTCATAACCACAGACTGTCACAACCATGTGTCACACCATAGACTGTCACACCATAGACTGTCACAACCATAGACTGTCACACCATGGACTGTCATAACCACAGACTGTCACAACCATGTGTCACACCATGGACTGTCATAACCACAGACTGTCACAACCATGTGTCACACCATAGACTGTCACAACCATGGACTGTCATAACCACAGACTGTCACAACCATGTGTCACACCATAGACTGTCACACCATAGACTGTCACAACCATGTGTCACACCATAGACTGTCACACCATAGACTGTCACAACCATGTGTCACACCATAGACTGTCACACCATAGACTGTCACAACCATGGACTGTCATAACCACAGACTGTCACAACCATGTGTCACACCATAGACTGTCATAACCACAGACTGTCATAACCACAGACTGTCATAACCACAGACTGTCATAACCACAGACTGTCATAACCATGTGTCACACCATAGACTGTCATAACCATAGACTGTCATAACCACAGACTGTCATAACCACAGACTGTCATAACCACAGACTGTCACAACCATGTGTCACACCATGGACTGTCATAACCACAGACTGTCACAACCATGTGTCACACCATAGACTGTCACAACCATGGACTGTCATAACCACAGACTGTCACAACCATGTGTCACACCATAGACTGTCACACCATAGACTGTCACAACCATGTGTCACACCATAGACTGTCACACCATAGACTGTCACAACCATGGACTGTCATAACCACAGACTGTCACAACCATGTGTCACACCATAGACTGTCACACCATAGACTGTCACACCATAGACTGTCATAACCACAGACTGTCATAACCACAGACTGTCATAACCACAGACTGTCATAACCACAGACTGTCATAACCACTGACTGTCATAACCACAGACTGTCATAACCACAGACTGTCACAACCATGTGTCACACCATAGACTGTCACAACCATGTGTCATAACCATAGACTGTCATAACCATAGACTGTCATAACCACAGACTGTCACAACCATGTGTCACACCATAGACTGTCATAACCACTGACTGTCATAACCACAGACTGTCATAACCACAGACTGTCATAACCACAGACTGTCATAACCACAGACTGTCATAACCACAGACTGTCATAACCACAGACTGTCATAACCATAGACTGTCATAACCACAGACTGTCATAACCACAGACTGTCATAACCACAGACTGTCATAACCACAGACTGTCATAACCACAGACTGTCATAACCACAGACTGTCATAACCATAGACTGTCATAACCACAGACTGTCATAACCATAGACTGTCATAACCACAGACTGTCATAACCACAGACTGTCATAACCACTGACTGTCATAACCACAGACTGTCACACCATAGAGTGTCATAACCACAGACTGTCATAACCACAGACTGTCATAACCTTTATGATCCTTCAAAACAACACCTAGAGAATGAACAGCCTTAAACACAGTATGTACTATATTGTATAATGGTACTAAACCTGAAGCTGTGTTAAAAGTTAAACGTGTTGACACTTGGTGGTTCCTGTCTACACCGCAGCAGCAGAACTTCTACATCAGAATGAATCTTTGTCACTGGTTCCTATGAACTTACATCAATGCAATCTGTATTTAAAATGCTTGTATTAGACATAATGTATCTTGATCTTTATTTAGTGTATTTTAAACATGTACATTTCTCCTGCATCAGTGATAAATCTACACTGCTAATCTAAAGGCTTTGAGAGGTGGAACTGTGGAGTATGACCTTTACAAACATGAAAAAATGCAAAATATGTTTGTTTTTTGTTTTTTTTTCCCTCGTGCAAATTAACACAGTTGTTGGATATAGGCACCTAGAGCAATATCTTTAACCCTGTTTCCACCAGCCCTACTTGGCCCTACTTGGCCCTACTCTACCCTACTGAGCTCTAGCCTGCTCCGATTGGGAGTGTTTCCACCGGCCCTGTTTAACAATTATATATCCATTTGGTACTAACGTGTTCTAACTGACAGTGATTGGCCAGAGTGCTGCTAGAAGCCATGGTTACCAAGGAGTTTCCCTGGACACTGATTTGTCGTGGGTAGGTTGCTAGGATATGGTACCAGATGCAGAGACAAGTAGAGCAGAGACCAGTAGAGCAGAGACCAGTAGAGCAGAGACCAGTAGAGCAGAGACAAGTAGAGCAGAGACAAGTAGAGCAGAGACAAGTAGAGCAGAGACAAGTAGAGCAGAGACAAGTAGAGCAGGGACAAGTAGAGCAGAGACCAGTAGAGCAGAGACCAGTAGAGCAGAGACCAGTAGAGCAGAGACCAGTAGAGCAGAGACCAGTAGAGAGCAGAGACCAGTAGAGAGCAGAGACCAGTAGAGAGCAGAGACCAGTAGAGAGCAGAGACCAGTAGAGAGCAGAGACCAGTAGAGAGCAGAGACCAGTAGAGAGCAGAGACCAGTAGAGAGCAGAGACCAGTAGAGAGCAGAGAGCAGTAGAGAGCAGAGAGCAGTAGAGAGCAGAGAGCAGTAGAGAGCAGAGACCAGTAGAGAGCAGAGACCAGTAGAGAGCAGAGACCAGTAGAGAGCAGAGAGCAGTAGAGAGCAGAGAGCAGTAGAGAGCAGAGAGCAGTAGAGAGCAGAGAGCAGTAGAGAGCAGAGACCAGTAGAGAGCAGAGACACATGGGGCTGGTGGAAACAGGGCTCTCATTGTACTGTGCCCACTGTGGGACCAATGAAGGATCTCTTTTCTTACTTTTGAAACACATTTATTTGCAGTGTTAGTCGGAGAATTCCAGCTCCAGCGCACTCAGACTTTGACGATCTTCTCTCTCCACAGACTGTCGGAGAGAAACTGCATCGAGATCATCACTAAACTGGTGGAGGACAAGCAGCTGGACGTGGTGCACACTTTGGACGGGAAAGAGTACATCACCCCGGCTCAGATCAGCAGAGAGATCAGGGACGAGCTGTACGTGCACGGAGGTGAGGCTCTCTCTCGTTGTGCACGTCCACCTCAGACCAGGCTCTCTCTCTCATTGTGCACGTCCACCTCAGACCAGGCTCTCTCTCTCATTGTGCACGTCCACCTCAGACCAGGCTCTCTCTCATTGTGCACGTCCACCTCAGACCAGGCTCTCTCGTTGCGCACGTCCACCTCAGACCAGGCTCTCTCTCTCATTGTGCACGTCCACCTCAGACCAGGCTCTCTCTCTTTGCGCACGTCCACCTCAGACCAGGCTCTCTCTCATTGTGCACGTCCACCTCAGACCAGGCTCTCTCTCATTGTGCACGTCCACCTCAGACCAGGCTCTCTCTCATTGTGCACGTCCACCTCAGACCAGGCTCTCTCTTTGTGCACGTCCACCTCAGACCAGGCTCTCTCGTTGCGCACGTCCACCTCAGACCAGGCTCTCTCTCTCATTGTGCACGTCCACCTCAGACCAGGCTCTCTCTCTTTGCGCACGTCCACCTCAGACCAGGCTCTCTCTCATTGTGCACGTCCACCTCAGACCAGGCTCTCTCTCATTGTGCACGTCCACCTCAGACCAGGCTCTCTCTCATTGTGCACGTCCACCTCAGACCAGGCTCTCTCTCATTGTGCACGTCCACCTCAGACCAGGCTCTCTCTCTTTATGCACGTCCACCTCAGACCAGGCTCTCTCTCTTTATGCACGTCCACCTCAGACCAGGCTCTCTCTCTTTGTGCACGTCCACCTCAGACCAGGCTCTCTCTCATTGTGCACGTCCACCTCAGACCAGGCTCTCTCTCTTTATGCACGTCCACCTCAGACCAGGCTCTCTCTCTTTGTGCACGTCCACCTCAGACCAGGCTCTCTCTCATTGTGCACGTCCACCTCAGACCAGGCTCTCTCTCTTTGTGCACGTCCACCTCAGACCAGGCTCTCTCTCATTGTGCACGTCCACCTCAGACCAGGCTCTCTCTCTTTATGCACGTCCACCTCAGACCAGGCTCTCTCTCATTGTGCACGTCCACCTCAGACCAGGCTCTCTCTCATTGTGCACGTCCACCTCAGACCAGGCTCTCTCTCATTGTGCACGTCCACCTCAGACCAGGCTCTCTCTCATTGTGCACGTCCACCTCAGACCAGGCTCTCTCTCATTGTGCACGTCCACCTCAGACCAGACCTAACGGGTTCTCTTTGTTCCAGGACGAGTCAACATCGTGGATCTGCAGCAGGTTTGGTTTTGATTCATTTCACTCTCAATAGAAGAACAATAAGGAAGTGCTCATGGTGAAGTTTTGTCCCAACCCGCCCTGGCTCCTATTTACCTGCATTTAAAAACCGTGACATTCACCATTTTTAGCTTAAATGTGTTTATTTTTTATATTGTCCCTTGCAAATCCAATTATGAACCATGTAGGGGCACGGCGCGGCTGAGTGGTTAGTGCTCTTGTTCAGCAAGAAGGTCCTGGTTTCGAATCCCAATCTAAACCGGGCCTCTCTGAGTCAAGTCCGGGCGCTCGAGTTTCTCCTACCACTAAAGACATGTTCAATAAGTAAAATCCTGAGCTTTTCCTCTTCGTGGGACTAAAGGCGCGTTCAGACCAAAAGCTTCAAAAAGCTTTTGACGCGCTTCAACTGACGCCGGGATAGTTTTGTCATTTTGGTGCTTGAAGCTTTTGACGCGAGTGACGCGCCTGACGCCGGTGGGAGGAGCTTCTCTGTTGCCTGTAGTCAGGACAGCGGTGGATTTTTCAATGAGCAGCGAGCCTTTATTTGTTATATAAAGCAAAATAACGTTGTTGTAGGGCTTCAACAAAACATGTTCTGGGTTCACCACAGACTTGAGAGGCTGCAGTGTTTGCAGAGTTCCGTCATTTACTCCAGGAGCTGCGTACGGAGGAGTTTCGCTTTCAGCGGTACTTCCGCATGTCACTTGCCCAGTCTGAGTTCTCAAACCCCGGAGCTCGCCTCTCCCTGCCTCTCCCTGCCTCTCCCTGCCTCTCCCCGGCTCTCGCTCGCCTCTCCCTGCCTCTCCCTGCCTCTCGCCCGCCCGGAGCTGCCTTGCTCTGAGCCAGACTCATCGTCAGCCTGTTCTTATTTTAAATAAACTATGTTTACTACACAGCATGTGTACAATGATTTTTGTTACTCAGAACGTTACTACTCATACAAATAATATTACTAATAACAATAATGACAATAAAACAGCAGCAGCAGCATGACTTCTCTTCATGACAGAGACAGACCCTCTGCTGCTGCTGCTCCTTGTCTCCTGATTGGTTGAAGCCCGCGTCAAAGCTTCAAAAGCTCAGCTTTGCTCAACTTCGGCGTCAAAGGGATTGTTGTGATACGCGAGCGTTTCGCGCGTCAAAAGCTTCAAGTGAGCGCGTATTACGCGCGACTCTTGAAGCTTTTGACGCGCGTCAAGTGACGCCGGGGCTCTCGGCTTCACCTGACGCGCTTCACCATTCACTTTCAATGGAAACCTGACGCTTTTGACGCCGAAGTTAAGTCCGGTGTGAACGCCCCTTAATACAAGTATCATTCAGACACAAATAATCTAATTTCAGCCTCTGCCCTCAGTATGAATATTTTTACATCATCCACAATTATCATTGCCTTTTAAGTCTAAATGTTGTTTTGATTCATTTCAGATCCTCAATGTGGACTGGGTGCATGTTGAGAACAGAGCCAGTGATGTCGCAAAGTCTCAAGGAATTCAGCTGGTTCTGGGGCAACTCATTGATGAGTAAGTTAAGTCATGGATTGGTTTCTTGGTAACTCTGCTTTAAAGTCTTTTCTCAGAGGAAGCCACAGGAAGCCAGTGCAGAGAGCTGAGAACTGCACTAATGTGATGGTACTTCCTGGTTCACGTCAGGACTCGAGCTGCAGCGATTTGAACTCTGTACTGCAGCTGTTTTAGAGTTTGTTTGAAGAGACCAGTGAGCAGCCGTCACAGTTGCCCACTGGATATCAAGATTCAAGAATTTGCATTAAAACCACATTGGAAAAACTGTGCAGGCCTACCCCAGTGTGCAGGATAAGAATCTCCGAGTCTGCTTTACACACTTTCTGATGTTGTTGCAGTGGATACCTGGACCGTTTGGCTGAGGAGGTGAACGACAAGCTGCAGGAGGCCGGTCTGATCAGCATCGCGGAGCTGTGTAAGAACTATGATCTGCCCGGAGACTTCCTCACAGAGGTCAGTGTCCTCCTGAGATGCAGCTAATGTTCAGTTATTTTATGATATAAAGGTTTGAACTTCCTGCGTAGGAACTGTCCAAGCGTCTTGGAAAACTGCTTCAGGGAGAAATGGACCAATACAACAAAGGCATCATCTTCACTCAGGCCTTTGTTTCGCGACACAAGGCCAGGATCCAGGGGCTCTTCAGCGCCATCACCAGGTCAATATTTTCTTTATTTACAGACAGTGAGTTACAGTTACTCAGCTTTAGAACAGGGTTAAACTTCCATTGTAATCCACTGTGTCTTTTTCACTTTCACATTAGAACTATTTACAGAAAGGGAGAGAGAGAAACATTTGGTAGGAATTAGAGTTAATTGAATTTCAGTGAAAGGAGAACGTTAGAACGGAACTTAATACAAGTTTGATTATTAGGACGGATAGAAAAGGTAATTGTGTGTGTTTGGTTGTGTGTGTATGTGTATCTTTGTGTGTGTGTGTGTGTTTGGTTGTGTTTGTGTGTGTGCGTGTGTGTGTGTGTGTTTGGTTGTGTGTGTGTGTGTGTGTGCGTGTGTGTGTGTGTGTGTGTGTGTGTGTGTGCGTGTGTGTATCTTTGTGTGTGCGTGTGCAGGCCCACACCTGTCAGCAGTATGATTGGGACTTTTGGATTCCAGGAGCATCTTCTCTACTGTAAGAAAACCTCATGTTTCTCACATTTAAAGTGTGGACACTGACGTGTAGTAACTGTTTCTGTGTCTCCCTCTCTCTCTCTCCTCTCTCTCTTTCTCTCTATCTATGTCTCTCTCTCTCTCTCCATATCTATGTCTCTGTCTCTTTCTGTCTCTTTCCCTGTCTCTCTTCCTTTCTCTCTGTCTTTGTCTCTCTCTCTCCCTGTCTCCCCCTCTCTCTCCCTCTGTCTCTCTCTGCTCTCTCTCTCTCCCTCTCCCCCTCTCTCACACCCTCTCCCCTTCTCTCTCATCTCTTTCCCTCTCCCCCTCTCTCTCTCTCCTCTCCCTCTCCCCCCTCTCTACTCTCTCCCTCTCCCCTTCTCTCTCATCTCTATCTTTCTCTCCCTCTCTCCCCCCTCTCTCTCTCTCTCCTCTCTCTCCTCTCCCCCCCTCTCTCCCTCTCCCCCCTCTCTACTCTCTCCCTCTCCCCTTCTCTCTCATCTCTATCTTTCTCTCCCTCTCCCCCCTCTCTCTCTCTCTCCTCTCTCTCTTTCCCTCCCTCTCCTCTCCCCCCTCTCTACTCTCTCCCTCTCCCCTTCTCTCTCATCTCTATCTTTCTCTCCCTCTCCCCCCTCTCTCTCTCTCTCTCCTCTCTCTCTTTCCCTCCCTCTCTCCCACCAGCTGTCCTGGAGGAGTTGGTAAACAGTGGTCGTCTGAAAGGCTCGGTTGTAGGAGGCAGACAGGACAAAGCTGTGTATATCCCTGATATTTATGCCAGAACACAGAACGCCTGGATCGACTCTTTCCTCCAACAGAACGGATATTTAGGTACGGATTACGGGGTTTAGCGGCTTTGGGGAAATACTGGACAAAACTAACTCAATTTATTTCTGCTCACATTTCAACATCTTGCTGGTTTTAGAGATTATTTGTGTTTATTGTTTGAGAATCCTGGCAGAATGAGCTTTTTACTCCACCAGCCCAATTTGGTCCTACTCTACCCTTCTCGTCTTTAATGTGTGTCCCATATCTCTCTCTCACCTTTTATATTCACATTTCAGAGTTTGATGCTCTGGTGCGACTGGGCATCCCTGACCCCAGCAGCTACATCAAGAAGAGGTTTAAGTCCAGTAAACTGTTGTTCCTGCGAGCGGCTTGTGTGGGCCAGGGTCTGGTGGACCAGGTGGAGGCCTCTGTGGAGGAGGCCGTCAGCTCCGGATCATGGACCGACATCCAGGTTTGTTCTTTGTCCTCTGAGAGAGAGGCCAGAGAGAGAGAGGCCAGAGAGAGAGAGGCCAGAGAGAGAGAGGCCAGAGAGAGAGAGGCCAGAGAGAGAGAGGCCAGAGAGAGAGAGGCCAGAGAGAGAGAGGCCAGAGAGAGAGAGGCCAGAGAGAGAGAGGCCAGAGAGAGAGAGGCCAGAGAGAGAGAGGCCAGAGAGAGAGAGGCCAGAGAGAGAGAGGCCAGAGAGAGAGAGGCCAGAGAGAGAGAGGCCAGAGAGAGAGAGGCCAGAGAGAGAGAGGCCAGAGAGAGAGAGGCCAGAGAGAGAGAGGCCAGAGAGAGAGAGGCCAGAGAGAGAGAGGCCAGAGAGAGAGAGAGGCCAGAGAGAGAGAGAGGCCAGAGAGAGAGAGAGGCCAGAGAGAGAGAGAGGCCAGAGAGAGAGAGGCCAGAGAGAGAGAGGCCAGAGAGAGAGGGCCAGAGAGAGAGAGAGCCAGAGAGAGAGAGAGGCCAGAGAGAGAGAGAGGCCAGAGAGAGAGAGAGGCCAGAGAGAGAGAGAGGCCAGAGAGAGAGAGAGGCCAGAGAGAGAGAGAGGCCAGAGAGAGAGAGAGGCCAGAGAGAGAGAGAGGCCAGAGAGAGAGAGAGGCCAGAGAGAGAGAGAGGCCAGAGAGAGAGAGGCCAGAGAGAGAGAGAGGCCAGAGAGAGAGAGGGGCCAGAGAGAGAGAGAGGCCAGAGAGAGAGAGAGGCCAGAGAGAGAGAGAGCCAGAGAGAGAGAGAGGCCAGAGAGAGAGAGGCCAGAGAGAGAGAGGCCAGAGAGAGAGAGGCCAGAGAGAGAGAGAGGCCAGAGAGAGAGAGAGGCCAGAGAGAGAGAGGCCAGAGAGAGGGAGGCCAGAGAGAGAGAGAGGCCAGAGAGAGAGAGGCCAGAGAGAGAGAGAGAGAGAGGCCAGAGAGAGAGAGGCCAGAGAGAGAGAGAGGCCAGAGAGAGAGGCCAGAGAGAGAGAGGCCAGAGAGAGAGGAGAGAGAGAGGCCAGAGAGAGAGAGAGAGGCCAGAGAGAGAGAGGCCAAGAGAGAGAGAGGCCAGAGAGAGAGACCAGGCAGAGAGAGAGCCAGAGAGAGAGAGGCCAGAGAGAGAGAGAGGCCAGAGAGAGAGAGAGGCCAGAGAGAGAGAGAGGCCAGAGAGAGAGAGAGGCCAGAGAGAGAGAGGCCAGAGAGAGAGAGGCCAGAGAGAGGCCAGAGAGAGAGAGAGGCCAGAGAGAGAGAGGCCAGAGAGAGAGAGAGCCAGAGAGAGAGATGCCAGAGAGAGAGAGGCCAGAGAGAGAGGCCAGAGAGAGCCAGAGAGAGAGAGGCCAGAGAGAGAGAGAGAGAGAGGCCATAGAGAGAGGCCAGAGAGAGAGAGGCCAGAGAGAGAGGCCAGAGAGAGAGGCCAGAGAGAGAGGCCAGAGAGAGAGAGGCCAGAGAGAGAGACCAGAGAGAGAGAGGCCAGAGAGAGAGAGGCCAGAGAGAGAGGCCAGAGAGAGAGAGGCCAGAGAGAGAGAGGCCAGAGAGAGAGAGAGGCCAGAGAGAGAGAGGCCAGAGAGAGGGAGGCCAGAGAGAGAGAGGCCAGAGAGAGAGGCCAGAGAGAGAGGCCAGAGAGAGAGAGGCCAGAGAGAGAGGCCAGAGAGAGAGGCCAGAGAGAGAGGCCAGAGAGAGAGAGGCCAGAGAGAGAGAGGCCAGAGAGAGAGGCCAGAGAGAGAGACCAGAGAGAGAGACCAGAGAGAGAGAGAGACCAGAGAGAGAGAGAGACCAGAGAGAGAGAGAGGCCAGAGAGAGAGAGACCAGAGAGAGAGGCCAGAGAGAGAGAGACCAGAGAGAGAGGCCAGAGAGAGAGGCCAGAGAGAGAGAGACCAGAGAGAGAGAGGCCAGAGAGAGACTGGCCAGAGAGAGAGAGAGGCCAGAGAGAGACTGGCCAGAGAGAGAGAGAGGCCAGAGAGAGAGAGAGGCCAGAGAGAGAGAGAGGCCAGAGAGAGAGAGGCCAGAGAGAGAGAGAGAGAGAGGCCAGAGAGAGAGAGAGAGCCAGAGAGAGAGAGAGAGGCCAGAGAGAGAGAGAGCCAGAGAGAGAGAGAGGCCAGAGAGAGAGAGAGACCAGAGAGAGAGAGAGGCCAGAGAGAGAGAGGCCAGAGAGAGAGAGGCCAGAGAGAGAGAGGCCAGAGAGAGAGAGGCCAGAGAGAGAGAGGCCAGAGAGAGAGAGGCCAGAGAGAGAGAGGCCAGAGAGAGAGAGGCCAGAGAGAGAGAGGCCAGAGAGAGAGAGGCCAGAGAGAGAGGCCAGAGAGAGAGACCAGAGAGAGAGGCCAGAGAGAGAGAGGCCAGAGAGAGAGAGGCCAGAGAGAGAGACCAGAGAGAGAGGCCAGAGAGAGAGAGGCCAGAGAGAGAGGCCAGAGAGAGAGGCCAGTGAGAGAGAGGCCAGAGAGAGAGACCAGAGAGAGAGACCAGAGAGAGAGGCCAGAGAGAGAGAGGCCAGAGAGAGAGAGACCAGAGAGAGAAGAGGCCAGAGAAAGAGGCCAGAGAGAGACTGGCCAGAGAGAGAGAGAGGCCAGAGAGAGAGAGAGGCCAGAGAGAGAGAGGCCAGAGAGAGAGAGAGGCCAGAGAGAGAGAGAGGCCAGAGAGAGAGAGGCCAGAGAGAGAGAGGCCAGAGAGAGAGAGGGCCAGAGAGAGAGAGAGGGCCAGAGAGAGAGAGAGGCCAGAGAGAGAGAGAGAGAGAGGCCAGAGAGAGAGAGAGAGAGAGGCCAGAGAGAGAGAGAGAGAGAGAGGCCAGAGAGAGAGAGAGAGGCCAGAGAGAGAGAGAGGCCAGAGAGAGAGGCCAGAGAGAGAGAGAGAGAGGCCAGAGAGAGAGAGAGGCCAGAGAGAGAGAGAGAGGCCAGAGAGAGAGAGAGAGGCCAGAGAGAGAGAGAGGCCAGAGAGAGAGAGGCCAGAGAGAGAGGCCAGAGAGAGAGACCAGAGAGAGAGACCAGAGAGAGAGACCAGAGAGAGAGAGAGGCCAGAGAGAGAGACCAGAGAGAGAGACCAGAGAGAGAGAGAGGCCAGAGAGAGAGACCAGAGAGAGAGACCAGAGAGAGAGACCAGAGAGAGAGAGAGGCCAGAGAGAGAGACCAGAGAGAGAGACCAATGTGGTGTTGCTCCAAATAGCAAATAAAATTGTTTGTTGTGTGTCTGTGTGTTTGTGTGTCCGTTTGTGCGTGTGTGTGTGTCTGTGTCCAGCCCATCCTGCCCAGCTGCCTGTCCGAGGACGACATGGGGATGCTGATAAACCAGGCCATGAGGAACATCAACGCCCAGACGTCAGCTCGAGTCCTGGGAGGAACCGTGGTGGTCAGCGAGAAGTTCCTCAGCAGCTGCCTCACGCTGTTCGACGACGCCATGCAGCAGAAGGCGGTCAAGGTCAATCTACTCGAGTACAGAGACTGGCTCCTCTACCTGTCTGGCCAAAATAAAGTGTTAGCTTAGTGATAATAGCCTCCAGCGAGTTGTAGCCCTGGACAGTACCTTGGCGACCTCAGCAGCTCTGTAAAAAAAAGTCTGAGGAACCTTGGAGTCACATTTGATGAAGGGATGTCCTGCAGAACGACAAACCAAACAACTGATTAAGAACTTGCCACTTGTACAACATCTCTAAGCTTTTGTTTCCTCACTGACTATTGCTGAACTATTACGGCTTACAAGATCTGACTTAGGGCTGGGCGATAAAACGATAACGATATATATCGCGATAGACATGTGTTCGATATCAATAGAGAATGGGGTCGATAGAATGTTCGATAGTTTAACTTAACTCCGTCAGGAAAAACAGGAAGAAAACACCGGAAGTAAAGCCGACTCATAAGCGCATGGCATTGTGGGGGATGTAGGCAGAGGCTTCTCGACCAATAACAGCCGAGCAGGAACCGCAAAACTTTGTGGGAAATGCAAAAACAACAACAACCGCAGCATGCGTGGCGTCCATGGATCTATAGCTCGTGTTTCAATGCCGTGTCAATGGTTATGCACGTACGTGCGCGGAATAACATGTGCGGCGGCAGAGGCAGTGGACAGACACCATGTATTCGGCGAAAGCAAGAGATTAACTTTTTCCTCGGGAAGCATGTGCGGCACAGAGAGCCGCACGGAGCAGTCAGGGGGACACAAGACCCTAAAACAGCTAAACCAGGAGCTAAACCAGGAATAAAAAACTAACAACGAGGGACACAGTGTGAACATATTCCTCCAGCCTCATCGCCCCGTGACTGTAAACAAGGCTGCTAAGGTTGGTTAGCCCACACAACAAATATATTTATTTAGGTTTAAAAAAAAAAACTCAATATATATCGTTATCGACCGATATGAATGACTTATATCGTAATATAGTTTTCAGCCATATCGCCCAGCCCTAATCTGACTCCTTTGCAAGTAGTTCACAATTCTGCTGCGAAGCCTTTGACCCGCGCCCACAGGAGAGCCCGCAGTTCTCCAATCTTTACCCTATATAAAGTAAACGTTACTTACTTATAGTGCAGCCCAGTGGTCTCAAACGCACGGGAAAAGTAGTTTGTCGCCCCCTAGTGGACATATAAGTGTAATGTCCCTGCTGAGAGTCTGTGCAATTCTGGCATGTTATACACCGATTTAAAGGTAGTTTTATCAAGAAAGAAACCTCTCCCTTTATCTTACCTTGATTGTAAAAAGTCATAGATCCAAGCAGTGAACTATAAAACGCTTGCTTCTTGGTTTTACCCGTTTACTTTCTGGACTGTTAAAGAATGAGAAGATTCACAGTTGGAAATGTAGCTGTTTATTATATTTATCCAGGAGATAAACGAGCCAACGTGAAATATCATGTGCACTTTTTGGCGTCTTGATTTCTGTGTCTGTCTCCCTCCCTCTCTCTGTCTCCCTCTCTGTCTGTTTGTCTCCCTCTCTCTCTGTCTCCCTCTATCTCTGTCTATCTCCCTCTCTCTCTCTGTCTGCCTCTCTCTCTGTCTCCCTCTCTGTCTGTTTGTCTCCCTCTCTCTCTGTCTCCCTCTATCTCTGTCTATCTCCCTCTCTCTCTCTCTCTCTGTCTGCCTCTCTCTCTCTGTCTCCCTCTCTGTCTGTTTGTCTCCCTCTCTCTCTGTCTCCCTCTATCTCTGTCTATCTCCCTCTCTCTCTCTGTCTGCCTCTCTCTCTCTGTCTCCCTCTCTGTCTGTTTGTCTCCCTCTCTCTCTGTCTCCCTCTATCTCTGTCTATCTCCCTCTCTCTCTCTGTCTGCCTCTCTCCCTCTGTCTGTCTGTCTCTCTCTCTCTGTCTTCCTCTCTCTCCTCTCTCTCTTCCCCTCTCTCCCTCCCTCCCCCTCTCTCTCTGTCTGTCTGTCTCTCTCTGTCTTCCTCTCTCTCTCTCTTTCTCCCTCTGTCTGTCTGTCTGTCTGTCTCTCTCTCTGTCTCTCTCTCTGTCTTCCTCTCTCTCTCTGTCTCCCTCTGTCTGTCTGTCTCTCTCTCTCTGTCTTCCTCTCTCTCTCTGTCTCCCTCTGTCTGTCTGTCTGTCTCTCTCCTCTCTCTTTTCCCCTCTCTCCCTCCCTCCCCCTCTCTCTCTGTCTGTCTGTCTCTCTCTGTCTCCCTCTCTCTCTGTCTCCCTCTCTCTCTGTCTCCCTCTATCTCTGTCTATCTCCCTCTCTCTCTCTGTCTCCCTCTGTATGTCTGTCTGTCTGTCTGTCTCTCTCTCTGTCTCCCTCTGTATGTCTGTCTGTCTGTCTCTCTCTCTCTCTCTTCCCCTCTCTCCCTCCCTCCCCCTCTCTCTCTGTCTGTCTGTCTCTCTCTGTCTCCCTCTCTCTCTCTCTGTCTCCCTCCCTCCCCCTCTCTCTCCCACCTTCATATATTTTGCAAACGCACAAACACGTGATAAACTTAACCCCTAATGCGGCCCAGACTCGACCTCATGCAGCCCCAGATGCATTGAGCTTGAGACCCCTGCGATGGCTTTCTGTCTTAAACCGTTTTCTCTTTTGGATCCGAACAGGAAGTGAAGAATAATCCAGTGTTCCTGATCACGGAGGACGACGTGAAGCAGGCGTCTCTGCTCTCGGAGACTTCAGCCATGTCCAAGAAGGAGAAGAGAGAAGCAGAACGCAAGAAGAAGACCACGGGTTCGAATTAATTTTTTAAGTTGGAATACTTTATTTTGAACCATAAAAGTATTGCACCGCGGCTGTGTTTCCGTCCAGTGTCGGAGATCAAGCTTCTTCTTCTTGCAGAGGGCAGTGGCAGCGTGAAATCTGGCGGTGGAGGAAATGCCAGAGAGATCCGAATCCGTAAAACCAAAAAGAAAGGAAGAAGAGACGACGACAGCGATGAGGAAACTGGATCCACTCAACAGGGTGTGTTTTGGATCTGATTCTTTAATGTGGGGAAAGAGTCTTCAGTCTTTATTTTAATGTAGAATTTGGTGAGTTCGGTCACTTTCTGCTCTTTCTGTTGTTTCTCTATCGTTGTTTTCCAGGGGTCACCATGACAACCAGAGCGTTTTCAATTATTACACATCTGTTTTAGGATGTATTTATTTACTCTCCCAATCTGTGTAACGTTTTCTGTATGTAAATTCAGTTTATTTCTGAAGGCGAGTCAGTCTGTTTTACCACCAGAAAAGAGGAAGTGCTGGTTACCATAGCAACCATCTGTTTACTTGCAGAAGTTGGCATATAGTAGACTTTATTATTATTATAAAAAAGACTGCACTAGGAGTTCTCATGTGCACTTGTATATTGTAAATAGTAACTGTAACTCTATTTTAAATTTAAATTTATTCTTTAGAAGTGTTTTTTATTCTTATTTTTATTATCTCTTTCTGACTGTTGCACTGAGCCAAAGCAATTTCCAAGTCTGTGACCTCCTGTTACTTACGTGGCAATAAAAATGATTCTGATGATTCTGATTCTAATAGTTTTAATAATTTGGGTCTTGGTCCAGGTCGCAACAAACCGCCGGAGGTCGTGTTCATGGCCGAAGACGAGATCGTGAAGGTGTTGGAGCAGCGCCTCTCGGACCGTCCGGACGACATCCTCTCGGAGCTCGCCCAGAACCTGCTGCGGTAACTCCAGCTCCTACGGTCTCTGCGTGGGCCTCCCCTTGGGCCTCCCCTTGACCCCTCTCTCCACCACAGGCCTCTGACCAAGAACTACCAGGAGGTTCTGCGCAGCGTCTTCATGACCTCCAGCAGCTCCACGTCCGGCGCCAACAAGAAGCAGAGCATGAAGGACCTGCAGGACGAGATCTGCAACCTCTACAACAACATCCGGCTGTTCGAGAAAGGAACCAAGGCTTTCTCTGGTGACCTCAGCACCAAGTTTATTCTGTTCTACGTCATTTATCCTGCACAGACTATATTTAAACCTTTAACATGTTGCACACTTCTGTCTTTTGCACACCTCGAGTGATTTATTGTGCCAAATCTATTATATTGTATGTTTGTTTGATTATGTATTTCTTTGTTTTCGTTATTTTCATTTTATAGTTTGGGGTTTGGTATCTATTTAATTTCTCGATCTTGCAGACTTGTGTTTGTTTTGGTTTTCTAGTGATGTTGTGTTTATTCTTTCTCTCTTTTTATTTTTTTTTAGCTATTGGGTTTGCTTTTTTATAGTTTTATTTTTAATCACTTTGTTTTGTTGTAGTTTTTTTATTTTTAAGGATTTAACTTGAGATTTCTTTTAGTTTTTTTTTGTTTTTTGCTTTTAATTTTGTTCTCGGTTTTTTGTTTGTTTTTTTGTTGTTTTGTATTTCCGATGGTTTTTTGCTTTTAATTTAAGTTTAATTATGATTATAGATGTGTCTTTTTTTCAGTCTGGCTATTATTATATGTATTTGTTTGTTTCTTCGATTGTATTGGCCTTTTCATATTTTAGGTTGTTATTTTTTTGGCATTATTTTTTCTTGCATTGTGTTGTTGGTTTTTGTTGGTCTTTTATTGCTTTTTTTCTTAAATTTCTTCTTTTTTTATCTTTTTTTCTTTAACTTTTTATGTTTAACTTTTTTTGTTGATTTAACAGTAAATAGATTGTTTCTTTTATCCATCCACACAAATTATTAACATATCTGAGATTTGTTTTTTTTTTTTGTTTAACTATTAATTTATGTTTATTTTGGTCGGTGTTGATATGTTAAAATTTTGTTTGTTGTTTGGAGTTAACTTGTTTATGTTAAGTATTTTTTAAATTTATTTTTTTGATTTTTTGCTTTTGGTATTGATTAACATGCACATTTCTCCAGTGTGTGATCATTAAAGTTTGTCTTATCTTGAGTCCATACAATGCAAAAAGTGATGTATCTTATTTTGAGCACATTCTGACTAAGCCTTAAAACAAGATTCACCAATGGGATGAAGCAAAATGATCTTGTTTTGAAAAGATACAGAAATGTCTCTCTTTGAATGAGAAACTTAAGCAGACTAAATATCTTTGTCCCAATGGAGAATCTAGTTTGAACACGGTCACAATGTGTCAGATTAAGATACATTATATTGCCCTCAAAGAGAAATTAGTCTTCTGTTGGACACAAACACAAGACACACACAAAATCAGGAAAATCTACTCGTCTGCATAATTTCCAACACAAGAATCTGCCATATTATTATTCTGTGCCAAAATATCCTCTTTGATTATTCAAGTTCTTCGTGTATCGCCCTAAATCCCAACTGCTCCAAACCAAGCCCCGGCGATCCAAGATAGCGTCCTATTCAAATGAATGGTTGTGCTCAGTGGTGCTTTGTGACGGCATGGGGGCTGAAAGATTAGCGGAAGTCGCCTGGAACTCCCAAAGATCAATGGGAAACTCTCAAAGATCTCTGGGAAACTCTCAAAGATCTATGAGAAACTCTCAAAGATCTATGGGAAACTCTCAAAGATCAATGGGAAACTCTCAAAGATCTCTGGGAAACTCTCAAAGATCTATGGGAAACTCTCAAAGATCTCTGGGAAACTCTCAAAGATCTATGGGAAACTCTCAAAGATCTCTGGGAAACTCTCAAAGATCTCTGGGAAACTCTCAAAGATCAATGGGAAACTCTCAAAGATCTATGGGAAACTCTCAAAGATCAATGGGAAACTGGCCTGTATTTGGGCATCGTCTGGTCCTCCCGGTTCTGCGCAGCGGATGATCTCCCATGATGCTTTGCCCCAAACACGCGTGTGTGGGTCTCACATGGGTCTCACGCACGTGCACAGAGGGGCTCGGCCGCGCTCTGACCAATCAGAGCAGTTCATCAGAGCGGGAGTTAGAGCGAGAGCCAGAGGAGCAGAGTTTGTGGCACCGAACAAAACCGAAGGATTTTAGAAGAAAAAAAGTTCAGGATGACAAGGGACACTAAAATCCCCACAAAATCTGACCTTTATGAAAGCTGTAGGTTCTCTGTCAGGTTCTCTGTCAGGTTCTCTCTCAGGTTCTCTGTCAGGTTCTCTGTCAGCTCAGGTTGAGCTGTTTTAATATGCAGTACCGCGAGAATCCCCCGAGCACATGAGTTCTTCAGCTACAAGCTAGTAATACCCTATCCAGTTATTATAATAGATCCATGCTCCAAACACACAGGAGCCGTGGGCCGTAGGGAGCGGGACAACCTCTGTCCGTTATTGTTAATAAATAAATAAATAAATGTTTGTGTTGCAGACGAGACCCAGGTGCACATCTCCAAACACGTCCTGAAGACCGTGTGCACAGACGTGACCAACATCCTGCTCAACTCTCTGGCTGCTGACCTCATGATGTCCACGGAGAACCCCTGCTCCATCAGTGCAGAGGTCAGACACAGAGGAAATGCCAGTGTTGTATCGCAAGTTACACAACAATAGGAGCAGGAGGAGCACACAACACGGGATAAGGCTCAGATTCAGACTCGGACTCGGACTTTTTTGATCCACAGGGAGGTTGCATTGTCACAGTAGCTCGCATAGTATTCCACAATAATAATAACATTAAAGGAATAATCTGAAACTAATAATAATAATAATAATAAGATGGTATTGTGAGAATAGAATAATCTGGATATAGGTACATAATCAGTGAATATTGAGCACAACACAACTCTGTATTTTAGATTATATTTAGTAAAATCATCTGCCTCCGCTCAGACCTTTTCCTCAAACACAGTCTCCTCCTGTGTAAATGACCAATGCTTCCATGGCATGTTCTACCTCATTATAAAGCATCACAAACATCTGTCCACAATACTAAGAATTCTTTAGCTTTAGTTCAGCTTTGGTTCAATCTGAAGAAGAATGGAAATCTAAAGATTAAGTTAAAAGTTAGTTAAGTTAAAAAGTTAAAAAAGCACTGGAGAAGTATAATCCAGGTGTTTGTGTTTCCGTCAGGTGAGACTGAAAATCATCGGGAAACTCCCAGACGAGACCAAGGGGCCCCTGATGAAACTGCACAACACTCTGAATGGAAAAGTTAGTTTCACAAATGTCGTAAATGATGGTGTGGCTTATATGCAGGTGTGGCTTATATACAGGTGTGGCTTATGTACAGATGTGGCTCATATGCAGGTGTGGCTTATATGCAGTTGTGGCTTATATGCAGGTGTGGCTTATATGCAGGTGTGGCTCATATGCAGGTGTGGCTCATATGCAGGTGTGGCTTATATGCAGGTGTGGCTTATATGCAGGTGTGGCTTATATGCAGGTGTGGCTCATATGCAGGTGTGGCTCATGTGCAGGTGTGGCTCATGTGCAGGTGTGGCTTATGTACAGGTGTGGCTTATGTACAGGTGTGTCTTATGTACAGGTGTGTCTTATGTACAGGTGTGGCTTATATACAGGTGTGGCTTATATACAGGTGTGGTTTATATACAGGTGTGGCTTATATACAGATGGGGTTTATGAACAGGCGTGTCTTAAGTACAGGTGTGGCTTATATGCAGGTGTGGCTTATATGCAGGTGTGGCTTATATACAGTTGTGGCTTATATGCAGGTGTGGCTTATATGCAGGTGTGGCTTATATACAGTTGTGGCTTATATGCAGGTGTGGCTTATATGCAGGTGTGGCTTATATGCAGGTGTGGCTCATATGCAGGTGTGGCTTATATGCAGGTGTGGCTTATATGCAGGTGTGGCTTATATGCAGGTGTGGCTTATATGCAGGTGTGGCTCATATACAGGTGTGGCTCATATGCAGGTGTGGCTTATATGCAGGTGTGGCTTATGTACAGGTGTGGCTTATGTACAGGTGTGGCTTATGTACAGGTGTGGCTTATGTACAGGTGTGTCTTATGTACAGGTGTGTCTTATGTACAGGTGTGGCTTATATACAGGTGTGGCTCATATACAGGTGTGGCTTATATACAGGTGTGGTTTATATACAGGTGTGGCTTATATACAGATGGGGTTTATGAACAGGCGTGTCTTAAGTACAGGTGTGGCTTATATGCAGGTGTGGCTTATATGCAGGTGTGGCTTATATACAGTTGTGGCTTATATGCAGGTGTGGCTTATATGCAGGTGTGGCTTATATACAGTTGTGGCTTATATGCAGGTGTGGCTTATATGCAGGTGTGGCTTATATACAGGTGTGTCTTATATACAGGTGTGTCTTATATACAGGTGTGGCTTATATGCAGGTGTGGCTTATATACAGTTGTGGCTTATATACAGGTGTGGATACTACTTTAATAAATGTGTGTGTGTTTTATTTTAGTCAATAGAAGATTTTTTGACAAACATCGAGAGCTCAGCAGAAGTTTGTGGGTTCATGTTGAAGAAAGCGGATAAGAAGAAAGAGAGGTGAGGGTTCCACCGCAGGTTATGCTAAGTATTCTACCAGATAGCATCATGCTAACGTGTGTGTGTGTGTGTGTTTGTAGACAGAGCATGTTCGTGCACAGACAGTCTCTCCTGCAGCAGCTGAAGGACACAGAGGACCCGGCGCTGGTTCTGCATCTGGTCAGTGTTCTGCTGTTCCAGTCGTGCACCCAGAACCTGCTGCACGCACCGGGACGCTGTGTACCGCAGGTCATCGGCACGCTCACCAGTCGCATCCCACAGGTACACACACACATCTACAGCCTCAGTCCTGGATCTACAGCTTCAGTCCTGGATCTACAGCCTCAGTCCTGGGTCTACAGCCTCAGTCCTGGGTCTACAGCCTCAGTCCTGGATCTACAGCCTCAGTCCTGGATCTACAGCCTCAGTCCTGGGTCTACAGCCTCAGTCCTGGGTCTACAGCCTCAGTCCTGGATCTACAGCCTCAGTCCTGGATCTACAGCCTCAGTCCTGGGTCTACAGCCTCAGTCCTGGCCTGGATCTACAGCCTCAGTCCTGGGTCTACAGCCTCAGTCCTGGATCTTCAGGGTTATACATAAATAAATTGGCGCTGACGTCACTGTTCCGTGTGTCGCAGGAGCAGCAGCAGCTCCTGACCTTGTACCAGAGTCTGGTGGTGAAGCAGCTGCTGAGCCGCAAACAGGAGGAGGCCGAGGAGGCGAACGAGGAGGAGGAGGAGAAGGAGGTCCGCGCTCAGACCCTGGCTCTGACTCCACTGGTCAAAGAGCTGGTGACGGCCCCCAAGAAGACCGAGGAGTAGTCCAGTCCAGACTCACAGACCCAGAGAACAATCCAGTCCAGACTCACAGACTGAAGAATCTGTGTCCAGAATCTGTGTCCAGAATAATCCAGTCCAGACTCACAGACCCAGAGAATAGTCCAGTCCAGACTCACAAACCCAGAGAATAGTCCAGGCCAGACTCACAGACCCAGAGAATAGTCCAGTCCAGACTCACAAACCCAGAGAATAGTCCAGTCCAGACTCACAGACCCAGAGAATAGTCCAGTCCAGACTCACAGACCCAGGAATAGTCCAGTCCAGACTCACAGACCCAGAGAATTGTCCAGTCCAGACTCACAGACCCAGGAATAGTCCAGTCCAGACTCACAGACTGAAGAATAGTCCAGTCCAGACTCACAGACCCAGGAATAGTCACGTCCAGACTCACAGACCCAGGAATAGTCCAGTCCAGACTCACAGACCCAGAGAATAGTCCAGTCCAGACTCACAGACCCAGAGAATAGTCCAGTCCAGACTCACAGACCCAGAGAATAGTCCAGTCCAGACTCACAGACCCAGAGAATAGTCCAGTCCAGACTCACAGACCGAAGAATAGACTCAGATTTTCTCCTGTGGGAATTTGTTTCCTCCAGTCCTCCGTGAGGCGCTGTGTCCATATTGTCATTAAAGGATCCTTGTCTTAAGTCTCTGTCTCTCTCTGCTCCACACACACACACACACACGCTCACGCACACACACACGTAGATTTTTGGTCTTTCCGAACTTTTTGACTTTCTGTCTCTATATCTTTGAAACTACCTGGATATGGCTCTGGTTGTAGGTCTGTGTAGATAGATATAGATGGACCTTTTTTGTCCACACAAAGAAACGCGTACAATACATAAACACTTTGTCAGCATTTGTCAACCTTTCAACTAACCTTTTGCTGTGTTGTAAAATAGCACTTTCAGTCAAATAGAGAATAGCTTTGACACACGCGAGTGTCAAGACATACGTGGGTCAGAGCAGTTGTAATCAGTGACGTTTAGATCAAGACAGTACAAAAATGTATAACACTTTGAGGATACACTGCTGACACACGAGTGACATCTTGTGGCTGCATTAGGAATAACACCTGCACGTGTTCTTGGTTCAACATTATTCAATTCATGCTGATACCCACCAAGCAGATCAGAGAATCAAACATAATAATAACAAACACATAGAGCCATTGGTTCATCTCTGTCCTTATACCCTCCTGCATCAACAATGAACCACTCAAAACAACAGTGAGAAGGACCACATGGAGAGAGAAATCTGCTCCCACGGACAGACGTAGATCCAGGACTCAGACTGTAGTACGAGGATAAGTTCATCCTTATGTGTCTTTTATCGGTAACTTCCCTTTGTTTAAGATGTATTAATATAACTGTAATAATACTGAGTTAAAGCTGGAATATCTTAGCTTTTTTGTTTTCACTAATACATTGGCCCAAACCGAGTCTCGTTTAAGTAACATTTTGAACAAATCCGACCTCAATATATTGTCTTTGTTAGTGTGTTTATGTGAACAGCAGACAGACAGAAGGAGAAGCAGAGAATGCAGGTTCATGTGAGTATGATACATGTCAAAGCAGAGGACGATTGAGAGACACGGATCTTTGCCAAACTGTGTCCTCGCTCTGCCGCAGACCTGTCCCTGTGCTCATCAGCTTCACTTCACTGCTGCGTTTTAACAGAGCCTCTTAGTCCATGCATCGAGCTACTGTTCGTGCAGCAACCCTCCTCCTCGTCATCTCTTCTTCAGCAGAGAATTGTTGAAAACTTCCTCACGCCACATTTTTCCCATGAATCCTTCTACTGTTCTTTTCTCTGCACTGTGGCACCCTCCCCTCTCTCTCTCTCTCTCTCTCTCCCCTCTCCCTCTCTTTATCTTTCTCTCTCTCTCTCTCTCTCCCCTCTCTCTCTCTCTCTCTCTCTCTCCCTCTCTCTCTCCTCTCTCTCTCTCTCTCTCTCTCCCCTCTCTCTCTCTCTCTCCCCTCTCTTTCTCTCCACTCTCTCTCTCCCCTCTCTCTCTCTCTCTCTCTCTCTCTCCCCTCTCTCTCTCTCTCTCCCCTCTCTCTCTCTCCACTCTCTCTCTCCTCTCTCTCTCTCTCCCTCTCTCTCTCCTCTCTCTCGCCCTCTCTCTCTCCCTCTCTCTCGCCCTCTCTCTCTCTCCACTCTCTGCTCTCCCCTCTCTCTCTCTCTCTCTCTCTCTCTCCCCTCTCTCTCTCTCCTCTCTCTCTCCTCTCTCTCTCTCTCTCTCCTCTCCCCCCTCTCTCTCTCTCTCTCTCTCCCCCCTCTCTCTCTCTCTCTCCCCTCTCTCTCTCTCTCTCTCCTCTCTCTCTCTCTCTCTCTCTCTCTCTCTCTCTCTCCCCTCTCTCTCTCTCCCCTCTCTCTCTCTCCACTCTCTCTCTCCCTGCAGCCTCCTGTCTGAGTGGTCTGAGTCCAGCCTCAGAGTGGTCTCTTGCTGAGGAGTATGTAGCAGGGTCCAGTCCAGCTCTAGTCTTGGTCTCGGTCTCGGTCCGGGTTCTGAACCAGACCTGAAGAGCAGCTTTGCATCATGGACCTGTCCTTTATGGCAGCGCAGGTAAACAGCACACACCTACACACACCGACGCACACATTCATAACTGAGGCTGTAGATCCAAGACTGAGGCTGTAGATCCAAGACTGAGGCTGTAGACCCAGGACTGAGGCTGTAGACCCAGGACTGAGGCTGTAGATCCAGGACTGAGTGTGTAGACCCAGGACTGAGGCTGTAGATCCAGGACTGAGTGTGTAGACCCAGGACTGAGGCTGTAGATCCAGGACTGAGGCTGTAGATCCAGGACTGAGGCTGTAGACCCAGGACTGAGGCTGTAGATCCAGGACTGAGGCTGTAGATCCAGGACTGAGGCTGTAGATCCAGGACTGAGGCTGTAGACCCAGGACTGAGGCTGTAGATCCAGGACTGAGGCTGTAGACCCAGGACTGAGGCTGTAGATCCAGGACTGAGGCTGTAGACCCAGGACTGAGGCTGTAGATCCAGGACTAAGGCTGTAGATCAAGGACTGAGGCTGTAGATCCAAGACTGAGGCTGTAGATCAAGGACTGAGGCTGTAGATCCAGGACTGAGGCTGTAGACCCAGGACTGAGGCTGCAGATAAAACACAGATGACATACTTACTCAGTTTATTTGAAAGCATCCGGTTCTTTTATTTTCACAGGAACATTTCTCGGAGCGATAAGTGTCCAGCGAACAGAACACAAAAGGAGACATAAGTGTCCTGCTGAGTGCACTAGTGTCCTGCTGAGTGCACTAGTGTCCTGCTGAGTGCACTAGTGTCCTGCTGAGTGCACTGGTGCCCTGGGGTCTGTACAAAGAGCAGTCAGTGCTTTTACCGTTGAGATGAAATTACCACAAATATTTACACTCGGTCTCTGGTCTCTACGCCTCAGTCTCTACAATAGATTTGAACCTGTTTGAACGCTTTGTGATTTCCGCTGAGGTCGTACGGTACAACTACCGTTATTTAATCCATCCAAAATGACAAACGACCGTATTAATAAGTTATTAATCTCGACTTTGCACTTGACAAACGGTGTGACTGATGCTTATTAATCTTAGAGCAGGTCATTAAGGTCTGGAGACGTTTTTGCAGTCTTTGGTCTTCTCCTTTAGGTCTAGTGCACAGTATAAAGGATAGAATAATAATGGGATGAAGAATAGTTCCATCCTAACCATGATTATTATTATTATTATTATTATTATTTTGTTTATTCAACAACATTCATGGATTTAATCAACATTTATGGACCAATGGCTCTGTGTGTTTGATTCTCTGATCTGTGTTGGCGAATCAACAACTTTGAACAGTCTGTGAGATAACTATTGTTGTGATTTAGGACCATACAAAGAAATCATTTTGAATCCATTGCCAAGTCATGGTGGCAGCCGTAGCAACGATTATAACGGTAATGATTCACTCAAAGATGTCATTTTTCTTTCTCTTCAAACACAGAGGTGATAAACTACTGTAGCCACAGCTGCCCTGGGGCACACTGACAGAAGCGAGGCAACCAGTCTGTGCCATCAGCCCCTCCCACCACCACCAACCATTCACACACACACCAGACTCATTCTAATGTGGGGGAAGTGTCTTGCCTAAGGACACAACCACAGCCGCCTCACTGTAGCACCTGGTGTTCCCAGAGGTCTCCCATCACAGCACTAACCAGGCCCTGCCCTGCTTAGCTTCAGAGGTCTGACAGGATCTGGCCCTCTCCGCACACACAAAATAGTCCAATACAAAATATTCATGTTTGGTGTCGCAACAAGACACAATGTGGAAAAGCGATAATAAATGTTTTCAAGGCTTCAGTCCTTGGTCTACAGCCTCAGTCCTGGGTCTACAGCCTCAGTCCTGGGTCTACAGCCTCAGTCCTGGGTCTACAGCCTCAGTCCTGGATCTTCAGCCTCAGTCCTGGGTCTACAGCCTCAGTCCTGGGTCCATAGCCTCAGTCCTGGGTCTACAGCCTCAGTCCTTGGTCTTCAGCCTCAGTCCTGGATCTTCAGCCTCAGTCCTGGATCTTCAGCCTCAGTCCTGGATCTACATCCCCAGTCCTGGATCTACAGCCTCAGTCCTGGATCTACAGCCTCAGTCCTGGGTCCACAGCCTCAGTCCTGGGTCTACAGCCTCAGTCCTGGGTCTTCAGCCTCAGTCCTGGGTCTTCAGCCTCAGTCCTGGGTCTTCAGCCTCAGTCCTGGGTCTTCAGCCTCAGTCCTGGATCTACAGCCTCAGTCCTGGATCTACAGCCTCAGTCCTGGATCTACAGCCTCAGTCCTGGATCTACAGCCTCAGTCCTGGGTCTACAGCCTCAGTCCTGGGTCTACAGCCTCATTCCTGGATCTACAGCCTCAGTCCTGGATCTTCAGCCTCAGTCCTGGATCTACAGCCTCAGTCCTGGGTCCACAGCGTCAGTCCTGGGTCTTCAGCCTCAGTCCTGGATCTACAGCCTCAGTCCTGGGTCTACAGCCTCAGTCCTGGGTCCACAGCGTCAGTCCTGGGTCTTCAGCCTCAGTCCTGGATCTACAGCCTCAGTCCTGGGTCTACAGCCTCAGTCCTGGATCTTCAGCCTCAGTCCTTGTATTTGTCCGATGCACTAGTGTATTTTTCGCACATGTATTCCAATGTAGATTTTACTGAATTAAATATGTCCCTCTGTGCTTGCCGTAGATCCCGGTGATGACGGGGGCCTTCATGGACCAGTCTCCCACCGAGGACTACAGCACAGACCAGTCCATGTTCGACTCCTCGTACAGCGTCCACACCACGGCCTCCCTGTCGGTGGGGAGCCAGGCCGAGGAGCCCCGGTCCCGGTTCAAGGACGCCCTGTGGCTCTGGATCGCCATCACCGCCACCATCGGCAACATCGTGGTGGTGGGAGTGGTCTACGCCTTCACCTGCTGATCGCACACGTTCTATGGCGGGAAAAACTCACGGGAAGATTTACCGTTTTGGAAAGAAATGTCTGAACTTTTGATCCACCCAGTACTGAACCATAACCTTGATTATTGTCTCCTCAAATGTCTGCGTTTATCGTCTGACCACGGTCGGATGATTAAAGCTCGGGTACCTAACTTCTGATCCATTCATATTTAAATTAACCTTTTCTTTTTAGTATTTTTTTTGTTATTACTTTGTGTTGTTTTCATTGGTTCAAACTGTTTCCATGTTACTACAGCATCGCAAGACACTATTTACTTCACTATCCTCCACAAAAAAATGAAAAATAAATAATAGATATAAAATATACAAAAATAATTACGGCAAAGCAATAAAAACAAAACCATGAAATATAAAAAAACAAATGACATTGAATACATAAATTTATAAAAATAATTAGGTGATGACTGTTTATATAGTTAAACCCAGTTCTGTGCAGGTCCAGGTCATTAATGGGAAGAATAATGATTTTTCTGTGTTTTCAGAAGTTTACCGTATTTTCCGGACTATAAGCCGCGACTATTTCCTAGTTTTTCAAATCTTGCAGCTAATATGTGTGTTTTTTATTGTGGTAGAGCTGTCAGAGTTTATGGACTTAACATTTTGACTCCATCATGTTTTAGCAGCTGCAGGACACTGGGTTATCGTCAAAACAGATGATGACGATGAATGAGTTTTTAAATCGAGTTGTGTCCAATTAAAACATTAAAACATGAAAACCTGCAACCTATATACTGGTGCGGCTTCTGTACAGGTGCGGCCTATGTACAGGTGCGGCCTATATACAGGTGCGGCTTATATACATCCATGCATCAATCTATTTTCTTCCGCTTCATCCGTTGCTGGGTCGTGCTGGGTCGTGGGGGCAGCAGTCTAAGCAGAGACGCCCAGACTTCCCTATCCACACACACTTCCTCCAGCTCCTCTGGGGAGACCCCAAGGCGTTCCCAGGCCAGCTGAGAGACATAGTCCCTCCAGCGTGTCCTGGGTCTTCCCAGGGCCTCCTGTGGACCCATCACCCACAGAGAGATCCGTGGTGGTTCGGTGCAGAGAGGACTGAGCAGCAGGCGAAGGCGGACACCTCGACGACCCAGTCCACACACGGTTTATATACATGTGTGGCTTATATACAGGTGCGGTCTATATACAGCTGCAGCCTATATACAGGTGCAGCCTGTATACAGGTACGGCGTATATACAGGTGCAGCTTATATACAAGTGCGGCATATATACAGGTACGGCTTATATACGGGTGCAGCCTATTTACAGGTGCGGCTTATATACGGGTGTTGCATATATATGGACAACATTGATTTTCTTTTTCAATGTAGGTGGTGCGGCTTATATACAGGTGCGGCTTATAGTCCAGAAAGTGCAGTAGACCTGTCCACATTACCCTTTTATTGTTTGTTTTGATGTTTTGGCCAAACATAGCGACAGATCTACATAGTTACACATCTGTAAATCTTGCTTCCCATCCTCCTGTTCATGTCAAGACTGGAATTTCCCCCGGGACAAATAAAAGGACTAAACATGGAAGAGTTCTGCTTTGTCTCTGCACATTCTGAAAATCACTTGCACTCGTTGTTATGACATCCACACTTTACACCGTTCCACAAATAGAGCAGTTTCTGGTGATGACAGAGAAAGAGCAGAAGAACTGGCTCCGGTCCGGATTCAGGAGGCGCTGGATTTGGACTCGGAAGTCTCCAAAAGCAGACCATCGAGAGCTGACGCAGGCCACGGAGACGGGACAGAGACAACACAATCAGCAACAACACAGGGATCAATGTAAAGAACCGATATATGAATTATTGTATCTTTGGTTAATGCAGAAGAAGCCATTTGAACATAAGCTAGCTGGAGCCAATTTCCTTATATGGGCATTTGTCCCGACGGGGTTAGCTTAGTGTCGTAACCATAGACTGTCAATATTAACAGACGTAGTCACACCTATCTCTGCTGTGGAAGCCAATGTGACATAATTTTTGGCTTCTATGGGGATTTTTCAAAATGGCCGCGGGCACCCCCTCCCGCGGGAAAATGTGAAAAAAATGCATTTGGGCATTTGTTAGCTGCACCAGCCCCATTCATTTAACAAGTGCATTCTGAAGTCCACAGCGGTTAAACTAGACTGGTCCAAAAATATATATTCCCCTCAGCATCGAAGCATCTGGAACGCCAGACTAAAGCTTTGGATCATTCTCTTTCCAGGTACATCATGCACGTTTTTGGGCCAGGATACGCCCCCTCTGGTCGTAACAGCGGCAGACGTGTTGCTATGTTGGTCACTAAGGCAAGCCCCACTGATGAAGGAATCTGATCCATCCCTACATCTGGATTTGCAAAGACAAAAAAACACCAAGATCGCAGAGAACGCTAAACCATCGTGTCGCATCAGTTGCATTTTTCTTGCTGTAACTGTGTATGACTACGTTGTCCTTGTCAAATAAATAAATACGTGAACAAATAAAATAGTGAGTGTAAAGCTGTGTTCACATCAGACTCAATTTCGACTTCAAAAGCGTCAGGTTTGCGTTGAAAATGACTGACATGGGGAAGTACCGCTGAGAGCGAAACTCATCCGTACGCAGCTTCTGGAGTAAACCATAGACTGTATATATTAACGGACAGAGTCACGTCTATCTCCGCCGTTCATAGGAGTTGGCCATGAAAAGTGCTTTCATGGAACTATCCAAAATGGCCGCGAGTGATCCCGCCCACAAGAAAATTGTGGAAAAATGCATCTGTGCATGCGTCAGCCGGAGAGAGCTCCATTCATTTGAACGAGAGACTTCAAAAATTCACAGCAAGTAAACTAGAGTGGACCAGAACACTCCCCTCAGCATTGACACACATGTGGAACGGAGCTTTGGGCCAAGAGACAACTTTTAGTCCATCCTGTAAAGACGTTTTTGAGAAGTCTGCCAACGCTATATGTTAGCATTGGCTAATTCTTCTTCTGGGTCCACCCCCACAGGCCCGGGGTGGTATTGCAGCATGTCAGCGCACGTCATTTTGGCCACTTTTGAGCTGGGACCCGCCCTCACTGGAGTAAACTCAGCCTCGAGTCTGTGAACCCAGAACACAGGTGTAGAAGCTACGACAACGCTGTTTGGCTTTATATAACAACTTAAGGCTGTTCTCTGGAAATCCACCGTTGTCTCTGGACTACACCGGCAACAGAGAAGCTCCTCCCACCGGGCGTCAGGCGTGTCAAACAACACGCGTTTTGAAACTTAACACAAACAGTTACTGAGCTAGAGGAATTTACTCAGTTACCACTCAGCGGTACAGTGCCTGAGTGGTTAGCACTCTCGCTTCTCAGCAAGAAGGTCCTGTGTTCTTCTGGAGGCTAAAAAGTGCATTTGTGTTAGTAAGAAACTCTTTTCATGACAGGAATTTAATTGACAGGATCATCAGTTGCAAATATTGGCTTCGCCCCAAGATAATTCTGTAAATGTGTGGTTTTGTTTTAACAAGTGTCTAATGTTTATGTTTTAGCTGTAGTCTCTCTGTCTATGTTCTGTGCACTACAACCTACAGTCTATGGCCAACGTGTACGTGCGCTGCAACAATCGAAATTGCCTCACTGTGGGACGATTAAAGGAGGTTCTCTTATCTTTATGAATCACACACACACACACACACACTTTTTGGAAATATTTCACTGACTCTGATTCATTTCCCAGAGACTGCTGGTCTGCGTTCGACATTTTCACTTAAAACGTGTTTATAATAAAAGAATGTGTGTTTTCTCTCTTTGTGATGAATGCCAAATGTCAAAGTAGTTTCCCCAAATCTGACTGGACTCTGCAGACTCTACGTTTATCAGATGATGTATGATCCAAGGATAGTGTCTGGTGTGTGGCCTCCTCATGTGGGAGCCGAGGACAGAAGGAGAGAAACACTTTGGAGAAAATTCTGTTTTGCATCATGTTTCTGCAGATACCAGCCACATTCCTTTGTATGAATCTAGTATTACCATGTGGGTCAGGACTGGTATGGTATAGTCCTGGGTCTACAGCCTCAGTCCTGGGTCTACAGCCTCAGTTCTGGATCTACAGCCTCAGTCCTGGGTCTACAGCCTCAGTCCTGGGTCTACAGCCTCAGTTCTGGATCTACAGCCTCAGTCCTGGGTCTACAGCCTCAGTCCTGGGTCTACAGCCTCAGTTCTGGATCTACAGCCTCAGTCCTGGGTCTACAGCCTCAGTCCTGGGTCTATAGCCTCAGTCCTGGATCTACAGCCTCAGTCCTGGATCTAAAGCTTCAGTCCTGGATCTACAGCCTCAGTCCTGGGTCTACAGCCTCAGTCCTGGATCTACAGCCTCAGTCCTGGGTCTACAGCCTCAGTCCTGGGTCTACAGCCTCAGTCCTGGATCTAAAGCCTCAGTTCTGGATCTAAAGCTTCAGTCCTGGATCTAAAGCTTCAGTCCTGGGTCTACAGCCTCAGTCCTGGGTCTACAGCCTCAGTCCTGGGTCTACAGCCTCAGTCCTGGATCTACAGCCTCAGTCCTGAATCTACAGCCTCAGTCCTGGGTCTACAGCCTCAGTCCTGGGTCTACAGCCTCTGGTTTCTCTGTGTTTGTAATGATTGCATTTCCTGTGTTCAAACGGTTTGATTTTCTGATCTGTTGTTGGCGAATCCACAACTTTGTAACGTTCTCCGAGACGACTGCTGTGATTAAGGCCGATACAAAAAAAAACTTGCCTGGACTCACACTAACAAAAAATTCCATTCAATTCAATGTTTTGTGGTGCAGCAGTCGTCTCGGAGGACTAAACAAAGTTGTCGATTCGCCAACAACAGATCAGAGAATCTTTAGCATGATTTCCTCTGTGGTTCTAGCTCTGAGCCCATGTTCTTCTAATGTGATATCTCTGGACTCGCTGCACGCTCTGCACATTATTGAATTTGTCTCTGGCGTCACTCATTCAGTACTGAGACCACACGACACTGCAAGGTTTGATAAGTTAAATGTGTTATAGTTTAAACACAATGACCAAACACATGAAGAGTATAATGGTGTGTATATGTTCGTATGAGTATGTATGTATATGTGTATAGATATGTGTGTGTGTATGCGTTAAACTACATACACACACACATTTAATCTTGTATTTACCTTTTCAGAGAAATATATGTTATTGTTTGTTTGTACACTTGTAAATTTTGCACCATTTCCCTTGTTTCCACATAAATAACGTATTTTGTAAATGAGGGGTAGGACCATATAAGCTTTTGCTTCTTCCTACTCCCTTTTGAACATGTGAATGGATTAGAAATTTTGGTTTTGTTTTACGGCTTATGTAGGAAGTATGCACACATGTTTCAAAATAAACTAAACTGAAACTGAAACTGAAATCACAACAGTAGTAATCTCTGAGGACTTTACAAACCTGTACATTCCTCCAACATAGATCAGTAATGCAATGATAAAAAACACACAGAGCCATTGGTCCATAAATGTTAATAAATATTTTGAATCTCTCCTGCATCGGCAAAGACAAGCAAAACCGGTCACTCGATTGGAATGAATTCTGCTTTTTCCCCGACATATTTTCCTGTTATACACACAGCCGCTGAGATTGGGTCGATATCCAGCTCCGAGGTCCAGTCAGTGGTGAGTCAGTGTTGTGCTGGTCTCTTCCTCTGCCCTGGAGGTGGGAGAGGAAGGTGTGACGTCACTGCCTCGGTGTATATATGACCAGGAGAGGACCCAGACCAGCAGCACAACGAATCCTCAAGCTCAACATGGACGACCATATGGTGAGAGAATGTTTTCCTTGGTTCATAATTAATGGTTCTTCTGTCAGATAGAGTTTATGGAAGTTATATAAAAGTTGGTTGAAAAGTTGGAAGGCATGCAGGGTTTGTCTTTCTGTTATGCAGCTGTTTTAACTCCAGTTTGAATGAAGTTAGTGAAGATAATCTGAAATGAAATGGGGACATTGGTGGCTAGTGCAGAGGTGTCCAAACCATGGCCCGTGGGTCAAATGCGGCCGTCGATTTAATCCTTGTTGCTCTTCTGGCTTCTTGTTGATTTGAACAATGTCTATGTCTAATCTGTGTGATGCCATTTTAAGGATTTCCAGTGCTTTCTTGAGTGACTTTTCGTATGCTTGGGTTCAATTCCACCTCCAGACAGTCTTTCTGTGTAGTTTGCATGTTCTCCCTGTGTCTGCATAGGTCTCCTCTGGGCGCTCTGAATTCCCCAGAGGACTATAAACGTGCTATAGTCGCTCGTAACAGTATTAGCCTCTAATCGCTTGTTTTTTAACTTCAATGTTGCTGAAATGTTGGTGAGTTCATCTTTGGGACGAGTGTAGAGGCCGTTGCTTGGACGGCCACCAAATTGATCAATCATAAATCATAATTATGCCTAATTATGCCTTTTTCTTCTCTACCTTTGACGTGTTTGCACCGAGAGCCAAAGCAATTTCGTCTGTGACTTCCTGTTACTTACATGGCAATAAAATGTTCCTGATTCTGAAAACCTCTTTGAGCATCTGAATAATTCTTAATAATAATAATAATTTCTCACAGATTTATCGCAGTTTTGAGTCTAAAGACAGTTGAACCATGACTTTCATATGTTACATTTCATTTCATTTTTGGATTCTCTAATCCAGCCATTCCCAAAGTCAGTAACACCGGGGCCCCCTTAAAAATCTGACGGGTCTGTGCGGCCCCCGAAATAATAACCAAGAAGACAACGTTAAAAATAGACTCCTCTCGTTATTTTATGTGGGAGAAATAACCTCTGCTACAAACATGTAAATGACCATCCCCACTTTGTAACACACAAATGATTACAATTTGATGATTCAAGTCAAATAATGAACACAAATATTGTAATACTACAAATAATTTTTTTTTTTATGACTTCTCGCGGCCCCCCTGCAGTACCCGTGGCCGCAGACCCCACTTTGGGAGACACTGCTCTAATCTGGCTGATATAACAAGAATGTAGTTGTGTCTTAATGAATCCCACATCAATCAAATCCAGGTTAAAACAGTTCTGTTTAACTGTGCTACTTCACCTTGGAGAGACCCACGAGGGAAAATGCAGTTAGAATTAAGCATGTTTGGCGCCCTAGGCCCGGGAGAGATGCTGTTGAGCGCGGCGCTTGCTCGTGCGCATAATCCCCCCGGGGCCTAGGCACTGGTGACGGCAGAGGCAGAGGCAAGCACGCTTCGATGAGAGAAGGAGGAGGTGGGGCGGCGGAGGCTTTGCAAACTTCAGAAGGCCAGGAAGTGGGCGTCTCCGGCTTTTAACTTGCTGTCCTGGTGGTTATTGGTTGATTAGATGTGGGCGTTGCTGGTATTGATGAGTCGAGGATGAGCAGGCTTGTAGATCTGGCAGCAGCGGCCGGGTCTACCACAGTGAACTTTCGCGAAAGCTCCATAACTAAAGAACTGTATCTTCTTCTTAATGCGCTGTGATTATTTGTGGTGTTTATGCTTGTGTTATTGTTGATTTGTTGTTGTCTTGTGTATGAACTGTGCTAATGCTTTTCCATATACAGTATTTTTTGCTCCCTCTTGAACTAAAATCATGACCACAAATGCTGTTGTGAATAAGTCTTGTTTTGTTCTGACAGATGTCTGTGAACACGTCCTCTCCCGCTCTGGAGACTGACCCATGCGATCCCTACACCACGGCCTGGTTGTGGCTCTCCTACCTCCAGCCGTTCTTCCTGACCCTGGTAACCGCTGTCGGCCTGCCGGGGAACCTCATGGTGCTGGTGGTCTTCTGCCTCCAGACCAAACCTTGCACCGTCGCCGACATCTACCTGGGGAACCTGGCCGCTGCAGACCTCATGCTAATGTCCTGCCTCCCCTTCTGGGCCCTCACCATCTTCCAAGGACACCGCTGGGACTTTGGAGAACTTCTGTGCAAACTCGTCAACGTCGTCATCTCCATGAACTACATCTGCAGCATCTTCTTCCTCACTCTCATCTGCGTGGATCGGTACTTTGCCCTGGTCAAACCCATGACCCCCAGCCCGTTCCGAAGGCGCTCTTGGGCCAGACGTTTCTGCCTGCTCATCTGGTTTCTCGGCTTCCTTTTCAGCCTCCCCATCCTGATCTACCGCACCGTCAGCTACGTCAAAGATCCAGGAGTTCACGCCTGCATCTTGGCTTACCCTCACCCTGAATGGACGGTGTACCAAAACCTTTCGCGAAACGTCTTGTGCTTCGTTCTCCCCGTCTTGCTGATGACGCACTGCACCCGTCACATCGTCGCGTCTCTCAAAGATGGAGGGATGCTAGGTCTGCCCAGTTTGCGAGCCGAGAAGAAGGCCACCCACCTGGTTTTGGCTGTGCTCCTGGTGTTCATGGTGTGTTGGGGTCCTTACCAGCTCATGCGATTCCTGGACACCTTGGACTACTTTGACTTGACTCCCGGTTGCCTCTGGGGTCACGTTTTGGACATAGGGATAGAGTTGTCGACGTATCTGGCGTACAGCAACAGTGCCATCAACCCTCTGCTCTTGGTGATAGTTGGGAGAGACTTTCGACGAAGGGTGGGGGAGGTTTTTGGGAGGCGGGTGAGGCGAGGCACCAAAGGATCGCTGTACCACACGGTCAGCTATTCGTCTGTGAACAGAATCAATGACACACATCGCATCAGCCTGGACAAAAACTGTGGAATCTATACCATCTCTTAGTATCGTTCAAACCAAGATGCAAAAGGACATTTTCTTATGGGCAGCTGAGTTACAGAGATATATATAGTATAGTAATAATGCCAATACATATACAGCAGGGGTCTCCAACCTTTATCCTTGGAGAGCTACTTCTTTCAGGGTTTAGTAGTTTAAGTAATGGATAGTAATGGATAAAGTAGTTTTTATCTTGATTTGAAAACATTTTGACATTCTTCAAACAATGGAACAACCAGCTTTAGTCTTACGTCCAGCACAGATAGAGCAAAAGTATCACTTGTTCTGTTGGTAAATCTTGTTTGAAGACCGTCAACTTGTTCTCTAAGCAATTTATTATAACTTTTTTGTCGTGTGGTGTTTTATCCATAAACAAATCCATCCACATCATTTTTATATTTACTTTACTTTGAAGAAGGTGGCGAGCTACTGGTAACTCCCGAGCTAAAGGTTGGAGACCCATGCTATACGTGTGTGTGTGTGTGTGTGTGTGTGTGTGTGTGTGTGTGTGTGTGTGTATAGGCTATATGTATGTGTGTGTTTATGTAAAGGTTACTGTGTACTGTGAGTCCGTGGCATTATTTTTGTTTGAATATTCATTGTTGTCCATTTCCATGTCTGACGTGACATGGTTGAGTTCACAGACCTCGGGGGAATAGCTTCCGCAGCTAAAGCTAATGGGATCTAAATAAAAAACAAACAAACACACAGAGACAACTATATATTTATTTATTTATTTGTATCTCCATTAGCGTCCACAAGGGGTCGCTACTGTTCCTGGGGTCTTTTAGTTAGTACTGTATTCTTTTGTATTGTACGGTATCTATGACATTTGTGGAAAAATACGTTACATATTAATTTCGACTGAAGTAAATATTTGATTTGTAAAACACATTTGTGTACATTTTTGTAATTATTGTAATTTTAATACATGTTTTAAATGGACAAAAACAAACACATAACGATCCACTGAATGAGGCTTTATTAGTCCCAGAGCCGGGAACGAAGCTGAGAACGGTCATTTATGAGACTAAATGAGAGGAAATGAGCGACAGCAAAACCACGTCTGGATTCAGCGGAATAATACACACACACATACACACACACACACCATAGACACTCACACACACACAGACACACACACCATAGACACACACACAGACACACTCACACACAGACACACACACCATAGACACACACACACACACAGGCACACACATACACGTTTTTGTTACCTGGTGGGTCCCTTTGACAGGGCCGTTCAGAATGGGACCCATAGACATAATCTTTTTTTACCAAGACTTTAAGTAATACAAAACAGTCAATAGAAACCAAACAACTATTTTAAAGGAATTTTATTTTAGATTTTGTTTTCGAATTGCAGTGATTCTATTTTTGACATAGAATTTAATGCCACTCCATGTCCGATGTCTAAGGTCATCTGGTGAGGCATTAATGCAGGCCAGGCAGTGAGACTTCCCAGGGACCTTTCCAGTCTGTATGAAAGGTGTCATGGTCTTCTCCACAGCCTTCACCTCAGATGCAGACCATGGCTTTCTTACACGTTCTAGGGAGAGAAATAAAAATATATTAGCAATATACACTCCCAGGGTGAGGACCAAGCAGCCTGGCTGTAATCCCCCACCTGGTACACTTACCAGAAGGGGCACTGCCACTACCATGGGGTGCATCTGGATGAATGGTTGAAGGTTCTCCGCTTGAAGTTTCTTTTAGCCCGTCCGTTTGTGAGAGGATCTCTACTGCTCTCCCTGTCGCACAGAAAATAAAAATACAAGTGGCCTTTAGGGGAAAAAAATCATACATATTTTAATAATATCAAGAATTACCTTCAGGCTCAATTTGTATCTGGTCGAGGCTCTTTCCTTCGAATTCCGTCACTCTTCCCTGCTCCATGGCCATCAACACTTTGCTGATTTTGGCCAGCTCCAGTGTCCCCTCTGGTAGTCTGTAATATTGCCTGTGGATGCGAATGTCATGGCCGAGGAAGTTGGCAAGTATGTCCATCTCATTCTCTTTCATATTGAGAACTGTAGACATAGTAGCTATGTGCTTTCTAAGTTTGGTTGAGGATAGCATCTCTGGATGCACCGCACCACATTCTTTGGCTACCTGGCGTAGGGAGTCTGATCCCCTGATGTGGGTGTCTGCGCCCGGGCGGGAAAAGAAGTATGGGTTATGGTCAGAGATGGAACAGGCCCTTCTGTTCTCCACCAGCACCTCCATCGAAGCAATCATTTCAGGAGTCAAAAGAACCGGCACTTTCCGACTTCTTTTCCCTTTAATTTCAATGCGTTGAAAATGCTGACACAGCTTTTTCTCAAGTTGGGACAGTCCCAGAGCAATGTCAGAATGGATCCCAGTCTTACTTCTTAAGGTAAAGGCTGTCAGTGGCATCTTTGAAACCTCACCTTCCCTTCTTCGATTGAAAATGATGACCTCACAAAGAGTCAAAACTGCCAGTTTAGACCAATGCTTAGACGTTGGCTCACTTATTAGGGTTTGCACATATTCAGGTCGACATACCTCAATATGTGCATGCATGGCTCTAACGTCCTCAGTCAGAGGGAGCAGGTCCGGAGTGTTCCACTTGGCTTGCCGGAGGGTCTGTAGGGCAGCAGAAGAAACACAGACGTCCCACCTCTTCTCAAAAAGCAGCCGGCTTCGTTGGAGGTTTTTAATAAATAGTTCATCAACACAATGCTCCATTTTTGAGTCACATTCAAGAATATCTGCTAGCTTTCTGAGGCTATGGCCGAGTTTGAGGGCCAAGGATGGAGTCTTGTATTGATTTGTTTCCTCATCATATCCAGCCACAGACCTGACTGCATCAATCACATGGTTAAAGTTGGAAGGAATAAAGAAATCCTTAATTGTTTTCAGTTTCCCTGCGGTTTTTGCTTCGTTAATTAACCTACCGACTTCTCTCATTTTCTGCCTAATGTAATCATGCTTTGTCTTATCATGCCCGTGTTTTAAGTACAGGTGCTCTCCGAGTCTCAGAATCCCCTTTTCTGCTTTGACAACACCCGTGACCTCATCCTGATGCATTGCCGAAATTAAAGACCACAGCTTTTTGCTGATGCCCTCCGGTACAGGCTGGGCTAGGGAGCAGAGGGACTGGACCCTACTTCTACCTGGTTTAGCAATGGTGTCAAAAGCGTTTGACACCATTGATTTTGAGATCCTTATTGGGAAACTCGAACACTATGGGGTCAGGGGAATTGCACTCAGGTGGTTTGGAAGCTATTTATTTGAAAGGGAGCATTATGTCCAATTACAAAACAGCAAATCCCAACATAAAATTATTAAATATGGAGTCCCCCAGGGCTCTATATTGGGGCCACTTCTCTTCATTGTTTATGTAAATGATTTTATGAATTCGTCTATTGTTCTTCATAAGGTGTTATTTGCTGATGACACAAACCTATTCCTGTCACACAGAAATTTGGACAGTCTAGAAGAAGTTGTGAATGAAGAACTCATCAATGTAGAAAATTGGCTAAAATGCAACAAACTATCATTAAACATAAACAAAACCAACCATATAATATTCCGTTCAAATAGAAGCTGTAAAGACATTGAAAGTATTAAAATACAAATTAATGGAAGAGTTCTTGAGAGAGTAGAGAACATCAAATTTTTAGGAATATATTTGGATGAATTCTTGAACTTTAAAAAACACATAGATTATCTAATGAATAAACTATCTAAATATGTTGGTCTATTTCTCAAATTGAGACATTATCTACCCCTTGAAGCTCTCCTAGCTCTATACCGGTCTCTATTTGAACCGCACCTTAATTATTGTAATGTAATATGGTGTAACACGTATCCAAGCCACCTTGAAAAGCTACAGATTCTACAAAAGAAATTAATTCGTAATATTGCTTGGTCTAAATATGATGCTCCCTCTGATCCTCTCTTTTACAGGTTTAAGCTACTGAAGCTCACTGAGTGCAACAGTTTTCATAACGCTTGCATTATGTATAATGTAGTATACAAACTAAATACCAGGCTCTCCAGTCTCATCCCAGTGACCTCTGCCCCTCACTGTCACAACACTAGAGGGAAACCCTTACTGCGAGGGAAAAAGCGCAAGCTGAAGTGCACTAGTTTTAGCGTAGCATGCAAGGGCCCTGAGATCTGGAATGAGCTTGACAACTCCATAAAAGAATCATCTTCTCTGAATGTTTTTAAAAAGAATCTAAAGTGTAAACTACTGCTGCATTATGCATAATGCAACCCTCTATAGCAGACAACCATTTACTATTTTATTTGGTCTTGTCCCGGTTAGATCTGAGTGAATGAGCACTAACGCGTACGTAAGGTTTTCATTTCATTTCTTGTATGTTATTGCAGAACTGATGTGAGTGTGTTGAAGCGGACTGTATATGTTTGATAGACATGGTAAGGCATGACTGCTACTGGCAGTCTGAAAATGCATTGAACTGGGGAGGGGGGGTGGGGGGGGTGGTTTGTGGGAGACTGTTTATTTTATTTTGTTGTCCTGTTCTTTCGACATGTGAATGTTATTGGGGCCCCTATATATAAGCCAAGTTGTGCTTCATGGGAGTCCCTTCACAAACCTAATTGTCTAATTGTAAAAGATGTGGATTCAACTCATGTTTGTGAACAAATAATAAATAAATAATAAATAAATAAATTAGCCTGGGCATCTTTCTGTGAAAGCCGGCACCTGGCCACATGCCTCCACAGCGACTTTCGCTTAAGCAATGCCCCACAGTCTATACAGTGCAAAAACTCACTGGATTTAACTGGGGAATTTGGCTGTTTAGCTGGGACTAAAGTTCCAATGCCGGCCTTTAAAACCTCAAAATTGTGCTCACGGTTTCCACTATTCCTGATCAAATCAAACTGAAGTTTACGTGCTTTAGATTTCACAGGTAGAGCCAATGCTCTGGCTACGTCACTTTCATTTCCATGTTTTCTAGTCAAATGACGGGACATTTTGTGGCAGGACATTG